AGATTTCAAATATTGCAATGGAATACTGCATATTAAGTAAATGTATATTTTAAAAATTAGTGGATTTCGCAGCTAGTCGTCGATGGTGTACTAGTGGATATGGATGTAGGTTATGAAGCAAATGACTCGGTTTCAAAGCAATTCCTAGTTCTCTTTATCTATCTTATTTTATATTACACAGTAAAGTCAGTAAAGTTGGACTTAAATTGTTCTTCGTGTCAGTTTTACTGAAAGAGACATGCAATCTGGCTTAAGCCGATGTTACCTAATGCTAACGGATCTGATTATCTGATCCAACCTAGTTCCGAGGGTTCTCTACTTCTCTTGAGAGACAGAAAGACACGTGACCAGTGTTTTTAGGGTTTCTTTCTCTCTAGCTCTACATTCGCCATTTAAGAAACGAGAAGGGAACTAGACTGAGTTCACTTTTGTAAAGACTTCTGGGACTGCTACTGGGGGCAGGGAAAAGTTGGCCAATAGTTGACCGGTACGTCTCCAGCAACTATCCCAGAACTCTCTGTGAAAATCAGCTCGGCCCGGTTTACTTCTCCTTTCAAGTGGCGACGGGTAGGAGAGAACCCTGGGAACAAGGTTGGATCTGATCAGCCCGCCAATTCCCGCCAAGCGATAGTACGACTTGAAAGCATTAAGCCTGGTTTTCATTAGCGCAAAAGCATAAGCAGAAGCATAAACAAAAGCACATGTGTAAGCAAGTGAAAACTAGGTCGACATAAGCATAAGGACGAGAAAAACGGACAAGTTCGTTCTTCTTGTGCTTATGCTTATGTCGTAGCTTTGACTAGTGAAAACTGAGTCGGCATAAGCACAAGCATAAGCGCGAGGCCGTGGACTAATCATAGGTCACTTTGACCCAGACCCCATGCGAACGTATCAAAAGCAATATGGCGGACGCTTTGTCCACCATTTTGTTTATCATCGGGTTCGCCAATTCGGGAGAGCTGGTATCGAGAATTGAGTCAAATATGCCATTCTGTGTGTGCGTATGTCCTTATGCTTCTGCACTGTTGAAAAGCAGGCTTAGAGAGCGCTAACACTGCGTAGAAAAGCTCTTTTCAAGACGCCAACATGATGTACCGAGGTTCTAGAAATGAGCAAGCGTACGGTTTTCCAAATCTACGGCTCCCTGGGTGCCAGAGGTTTTCAGTTTTCTGTAAGCGCCGAGAAAAATAAAACTGCGAGTATAAGAGTATAAACACATCGGCGACCCAGTTCAGATTATAAGCTGGCCCACCTCGTATGAAAATGAGGTTGCCGGCTTGCTTTTGTGACCAGAGCATATGTCCGTCTCGAGAGCTTTTAGTAAGACTTCAAAATAGCTGCATATACTGGGGAATAAGTTCCACATAACATAAATTACTTCATTTTAGTCTCACTGCTCATCGGTCAAATTGTCTCTTAGTAAGAGGCGGCATGGATGCTGAGTGGCAAAGATGTTAACGATCTCATCAATGTCGATCACTCTACCATAATGGATGTTCATCAGTGCCAGAACCGACACTCTCTCCGTGGTTATGTGCTTCTAAAGGTCCGAAGAAACGAGCAACAAAAAACGTGCAGTTTGTTTTGCAACACTGCTGCAAAACGAGTTACGTAAAACCATGCAGTCTTGCAACAAATCAGGTTGTTAACACTGGGGTTTCAACATAAGTGGTAAAACGCGCAACATCGTTATTCAACTAGTTTTGCGTTTTTTAGTCCTAAATGACCTTTCAAACTCCACCGAAGTAACAGGTAATGAACAAAGAATGCGAAGAAGGACATTTATGTTGGGAAATAAACTAGGGTCGCATTCTCTAAGGGTGGCTGAAGCATGCACTGGTTGGAAGACTCGATTTGTCAGCTACTTCTGACCATTTGCGACGCCAACGAACCAGCTCAACGACAACGACTGACAATCGGTGACAAAGATCATCCCGATAAAATTGAATTTCTGCATTAATTGTGGTGTCACTTGAGCTCATCAGTACTTCAGGTACCAAACACATCACTTTGGAGACATTCACCTTGCTTTCACTGAAGTAGGGTCAATCTGGGCTATCAGGTGGTCCATCAGGGGAATGCACAGCGAACGCTGGAAGTACTGAACAGGAGTGGTAGCTGGAATGTTATCACGATGTTGCTGTCTGTTGGCAATTCTTGGTACTGCAGGTTCAACATCGTCTTCTTTCCCTAGCTCAAGACAACGCTTGCTTCGTACGTACTACCGATTGAAAACCTCAATGGCTTTCAGATCCGATTTAATTTCACAGAACCAACTTGGGTGTAAGCCTTATGTCACTGTCGAGTTTCTGCAGTTGTATGCTGAGTGCTATACGGAGTGGTTTCAGCACGGACAAACACTTCATCATCGTGATCATCGTTACTATGAACTAAGGAACTGAGTTATGGCTGCTAAAAAACTGTTCGCCTTCGTGCGCGTTTCTTGGTCCCATTTCCAAGATCCGTACTCGTCAGGTAAAAACGCTCATTTAGCATTACCTCTAATGTCTTGACAATTGCTTTGAAAAGGCTGTGAAATGACCTAAAATACCTCGAACGCCTCACGCCTCTCCACCCAGCGAGTGCCATAAAGGCTAATTAGGGTAGTTCGGTGTGTTTCAGGGCATACCTTGTTAATTATTGCCTCTAACAACTCGTTCCTTTTTGGCGGAACTTGAAAAAACGACATATTTCATTAAGCGTTACTATCATGTTCCTTATCGTTGGAATTTCACATGTACTCTGGTACTACCTCTTATAGCCGACGAAATATTAGATGCTCCATCATACCCTTAACCTCTGCAGTTTTGTACTACTAATGACCAAGGTTGGAGCGCCTCGAGTATCGACGTTGCCACAGCTAGTTCACCTGTCGTCCGCCCCAAGGGTACAAATCCAGCAATTCTTCATGTATGCCACAGTTTTGATCAACAAATCGGATTGATATTCAAAGCTGTTCGGTGATTCGAAACATAAGTTGTTTCATCGGCAAGAATCGTAAAGAAAGGTGCACGCTCTGCATGGGATTTCGCTAATAATAATGGTCAGTCCTCAAATACTCCATTGTTATCTTTATTTATATTATGCCATTCTGAATAGCAGCAGACCTGTAAGTAGCATTTCTTGCGCACTCTCGTAGGTGCTTCGCAGTAATCGCATCCCCTCTTCTGCACGGAAGTCTAGAAGGGCAAGAAAATTTCCTCTATTCTTGCTGTTGTTATCCGTTCTGGATTCCGTACGCTATTGCACAAACAGCAACACCATGCAGGATTGTCAACTTACTATCTTATGGTCACGAATTTGCCTGCGCCTTGTGTGACTGTCAATCAACGAGGCCATTGGTTACGAACAGGAACATGTTTCACGCGCGTTTTCGCCGCCTGCATTATACTCACAAAGGTGGGAGGGGGGTCACAGGCATCCCAGGACCCCCCTAGCAACGTCCCTGTGAACTACATTGTAGATGGAATAAGCGCGATAAAGTTTGAGGCAGCGTGAATTCACTTTTTAAGTGACGTTTTCTTAGCCGTCGTCGTCGTCGTTACAAACGTCACTTAAGCCCCCTAGTTTCTACACGCCTGGAACACCGACGGAAACCTGTGGAGTAGGAAACGGAATAGCCTGCGAGCAGGAGACGTATTTCCGGTCGTTAAGCGACGACCGGTAATACGTCTGCTGTTCCTAGGCAAGAAACGGAATGGCTGAAATTCTTATCTATGTGCCCTCTATTAGCCTGCGTAGCTGGCGGTATTGTGTAGTAGTCGAGTGAGATTTGGCGGCGGAGCCGTTGTAATATAGTCGAGTGAGATTTGACGGCGGAGCCGTCACGAGCGGCGAAGCCGCGAGAAATACCGCCTGCCAGAGAACCATGATTTTTCGAATCACTTTAGCTGATCGTAATTAAATCAGCCAGTCAAAGAGAAACCTGCAATTTGAAACTTCCGATTATTTTCGCGCGAGACAGTTTAGAAATAAGCGTTGACAGGCTAAACACGACTCCTCAGCTCGTGATAATGTGAAACGTGACCTTGTGACTTTGCTTGAACAGAGGTTTTTTTTATTTTCTCGGCTCTCGCGCGAAGGTTACTAGCACTACACGGTGCATTTATCATTTTAAACTTTGACTGAGTAAATTTTTTTTTGCAACACCAGGCTTAACATTAAAAGGTCATGAAGCTGGTTTGTTACATGCATAATGAGTAACCATTTCCGATGGTTTATTCTTCTGTAGGTGTTCCTGATAGGATTTGATCTCAGATGCAGTTGTATAGTGTTTTAATTTTCTTTGACCTTTGTTTCTTACGGCTAAATAAAGACAATCCCAGCACTGTGAAGTTTAAAGACGCCATTTCGGCAATTTGGTCATCAATTATGCTCTTTTTAACGCGGAAATCACAATCACTTTACATGTACGTCTTTTTCAGTTTGCCATCTGCTCCCTAAATTGGGAAAAATATGCGAAGGCTCATCTAACATGATTGACATATGTATGGCCCTCGACCAATCCATTTCCCCGCACACTGCAGTGCGGGCTATTCAAAATACCGGGGTTTTCTGGCAGGCGGTATTTCAACCGCCTCGTCCCTACTCCCTTTTTTTGAAACACGGCTCCGCCGCCAAAACTTTAATCTCGCACCCACACAATACCGCCATCTACGCAGGCTAGCCCTCTATGTGCCCCCTATGCCAGGTGGGAATCTTTTCCTGCCCGCTTTGTATAGTGGGATAGCTTGTGAAAGTCACATAAAGAAGGATACAAGAAAGAACATCACCAAGAATATTGCGCGTAAAGATCATCGATAATTTTCCCTTTTCTTTTTTTCTACGGTTAGTTACAGTGCCTATTTCTGCTTGTATCATCAATATTCTGAATTTCGAATCCAAAAATCGCTTTAGTCCTGTCTATTTGGTTGAAACGAACACGAAGGAGATGGCGTGATAATCGTCTTTGTTTCCCTGTGCAGGTTTTCCTTCAACGACGCTTTTTTGAAGAACTGTGAAAAGCTACGAAAGTGGACGGACGCGGGGCAAAATCTTTGGATTTTTCCGGAGTCAGGGAGGTTGTACCCGCATCGCTGCCTTTGCAAGAGCCAAGTACAGTTCACCAGCAGCAAAAGTTTCAACGATGGGTCCCTCCGCAAGTAAACCGGCTTCAATATTGCCAAGATGAAGCGGTTTTTCGACGGGTCCGAGGGTAATGACGCTTTAGCCTTTTTAGATTGCCACAGTTAAATGACTCTGGTCCCAATTTTCCTAACATTTTGACTAATTTCCCCTCAGAGTTTCTTAAACCGTAACAGTAAACACTGGAATTCTGAAATTGACCTGTATCAGCTTGAGCTTTTTACAGCACGCTTTCAGTGCAATCAAGCAGTCGAATTAAGGTTTATTATGGGTACATTTTGGTTTTGATAAATCGCAATGTATATCATTGTATGTATTTTATTTAGGAATTTTTATAAAAAGGAAAAAATTAATTCACAGCTGCTTGTTCAGAAAACAATTTTGCTATTTTTTTTTTTTACTTACTGGTTTACAGCTATTTCTAGGTTATTGTATTTAGCTTGAATCGTAATATATCTGTTGATGTTAAGTCTTTCTAGCCTTTCTGGCATGGCTGACTTTTTAATAGTTCAACTGGATGGCCAGTACACAGTATTTAAATTTTTCCAAAAGGTCACATTCCAGCTACCATAAACATGACACTGAGCATGTTTAACCCTAATATCAAAATTCAAATTCTCATTCATTGCCCCTATGCATTTCCAATGGAGGTAGTTGGGAGAAGTTATTTTTCAACCAGATTCATCTTATGTGATCTTGCCCTAATTCTCATCACTTATTTGCTTAATTAATCATTGATAACATAACTAATTTCCAATATTGGAATCTGTATTGTTGCAAACAGTACAAGTGACAGATCTGTAACAATCTGAAAAAAAAAAGGAAGGATGCGTACATAGCTAAGGCACTTTGAAAGCCCTCAGTCAATCACGGTTCATGTGAGAATGAAGCAATGAGCCAATCAGTGACTATTTTAGCTTACTGTGTGCCAGGGTCTTCTCTCCTGCCGCGCCATTATAATTATATACGAGAAGACCCTACAGGGTTTTCAGTAAGACTTCTACTAGCAGGAGAAAGGTGTAACATTACAGGAGAATACCGCAAAATTCCGAAAATAGAATAGCCCCATGGCTTATATTTTTCAAAGGCCCTTTTTGAGGGGCTTATCTATGAAGGGAAATTTGCATTTCAAAATCGATTGGGCTAGCCTTATAGTTGGAAGTAAATTTACCGTTTTTGTTTTGTTTTACTTTGTATACGTATTTGAGGACAATTTTCCAAGTACAAGCCTCCAGGGGCTTATATTTGGAGGGGCAATTTAACGTAGGGTTTTTTGTGTTACCGGATGGGGGGCTTATATTTGGAGGGGCTTATACATGGAGGGGCTTATTTTCAGAATTTTACAGTAGTTTGAAAGAAGCTCTCGGTTGAATAAAAATTAGTCATATACCAAACGTAGGTTTCTGAGGATTTGCTGGAGAATTCTGTGATCTTTGATGCCTACTGAACACCCTGCCCTGGGATGAGTTTGATAGAGTACTAAACCCTGCCAATGTAGGTGGGTACCCATCTCCCACAGGACAAATGAGTTGTTTCCTTGACACTAATTAATAGTAATACCATTATGGATTCCAGTAATGCATAGTTAATGGCGTTATTTGTTTTGATTATAGGATCCTCAATAAATTAACTCCGGATAAATTTGATAAACTTTGTAATGAGCTGCTGGGAGTGGGTATTGAGACCAAGTACATTCTCAAAGGAGTGATTCTGTTGGTAAGTTAATGAGGAAAAAATTATACAGTCAACCCTCTACTTAGTGGCCATCTCTCCACAACAGCCAGCTCTTTACATGGCCATCTTTTTTGGCGGACAGTCCATACAATTGACTCTTATTTAAGCGTCTCTACAACGGCCTCCTCTCAATAACAGCCACTTTCATCACTGGAAAACAAATGAATGGCACCATGTTAAAGTGCTGCCAAAGAGGTTTTATTTAAAAAATTTTCCCGCTTTAGGATTTCTTTATCAGACTCAAAAGTTAGAGCCACCTTGTATACATGCAGTACAAGAAGGAAAGTAATGCTCAGTAGCTTTCATTTGACTGGTCACACATTAATTAGGATTTTTAATTCACCCACAGACTTCATTAAGTAGAACCATCTTGTACTATTGGTGATTAATGATTAATAGCGATTATGACCGTTCGGTTCCATTCACGATTCTTTGCTTCCACTTTTCAATTTTGGTTTGATTTTTGCATACCTATTCCAGGGTACCCTCAGTGTGTTATTATATTGTAAAATCAGAATCTAGAACTCTTTAAAATGTGCATTTTTGATTGACGAGCAAAGACTATTGCAGTTTGTGCACCATTTCGTGTTGCCTGAGAATTTCCAGATAAGGAAAACCTTGTGTGTCCCACTCTTTGTCTGACAGGTTCTCAAACATGGAGACGAAGGACTGAGTGACTGTAAATCCTCCTGTCCTTGTTACTATTTTCAAATTGAGGGTTTAGGGTTACATGTTTACATCACGCATTATGTTATAAGAATTAAGAAACATGTACATAATCAAATCAAAATAATCGAAATCAAATCACAAGGAATATGAATCAGTTACCCCTACCTTGCACAGCTTAATAAACAGTACCACAGGAAAGTATTGCTCAGTAGCTTTCATTTGACAGGTCACAATTATTTAGGGTTTCACCCACAGACTCAATAGTTAAAACCACCTTGTACAGCATAATAAACAGTACCACTAGAAAGTACTGCTCAGTAGCTTTCATTTGAGTGGTCACAATTTAGGGTTTCATCCTCAGATTTAATCAAAAGTTGCAAAAACTCAAATCTTTGATAGTCTCACAGTAGCATCTCTGTCCTCAAATCCCATGATATATATTTATCCAAGTAAAAGTAAAATGTGCTGATATGCATCTTGAACTTCAAGGTTTTTGAAAAAGCTCTCGATGAACCAAAGTACAGTTCTATGTATGCCCAGCTGTGTCTGCGGCTCAGCGAAGAGGCACCAAATTTTGATGATCCTGGAAAAACTGGCAACTCAGTAAGTATAATATTCATTGCAATGCTTATTACCTCATTTCTCATGTCACAAGTTTTTTTTTTGGCCATGTTTTAGTTACCTCATGTCCTGATGAAATATCTTTCCTTAAAAGAGATTGTTTTGTCTTAGTGAAAAATAATTGAAATAATTTATTTAGTACTGACAGTGTGCTACAAGGCTAAGGAATACATGTAGCCAGACAGGCTTATTATTAGTCAGGCAAGCTTTTTCCTTACTTCATCTTCAAAATTACCCTTTCCTTTTTTCCAGTGCAATATGAGCCGGTCGTAAACTCTCTTTTAGCCATTGAAATTGGCCCGTTGCCATCTCTTAGTTATGTTACAGGTCTATCCTTTGTACTAAGCTGGGGAGGCAAGGATTCAGATTGAAAATCAACCCATGTTAAAAAATTTTAACCTGGAATGAAATTTGACCTGTAACAGTTACCTTTCTGTCACCAAGTTTTCAGAAATTTATTTTCTAAAAAACATTCCCATTTGCAGCTTGATCTCATGTCATATTTTCACATTGTTTAACAAACAAACGCAGTGATTATGTTACAACTCCTCAAAATTTGAAAAATCATGGGTCCCAGTCCATAACCAATGAGTCCCAGTTAAAAAAAGAAAATGCTTGGGCTTTTATGTAACCAGACAGTTAACCTGGAGACAGACAAGAAAATTCTTTATTACAGTTTACTGAAAAAAAAATATAGTCCTTCTATACATTTAAAGCACAAAAAAGACTGAAATAAATATGCATCTTTAAACAACAGCCACAGAAATCACACGAACAGGATATTCTACCAAAAAATCTGTGCTCTAAGGAAAATTGAAGGGAACCCAGTGCTCTGAACCTGTAAAATCCAGGGTAACCCAGCATATGATTTGTATGAAAAATCTGAGATTTTCTAGTCGCCCGAGAGTAAAAGTTAGGTGCCGGGGGCCACCGGGTTCTGCTAGAGCACAGCCCTGCATTCTTTGCTTCCCATAGGACGCATGCCATGAATTATTTTACATCTTTGGGGATTTTTATGTGTCAGGGACGCAGGACGCATAGGTAACAAAATCACTGCAAACGTAATGCATTTTAAAGGAGAATCTAAAGGTTAAAACTGAAAGTCATGTGGAGAAGTTTTCAGGCACCCGGGCTTCACTTTTTAAAATTGATTGTGAAGCAGAAGCCACTCCGCAAGGTCAATGAAATTACATTCCTTTGCTCTTACCCCCTACCCCACCCCCTTGCTGTTTTTTCTGATTACATCTCTTTGCACTGCCTCACGATTGGAACACCTGGAACAGGCTACAAAAGCATCCTTACGATTTACCAACTTTTCTAACTCTTTTCATTGTAAATGCTTCAAAACATGTCATGTGCCACATCAAACGGCACCTTTTGCATCCATCATTTGAAATCTACTCCAGGAAGAATAATTTATGCTGCATGTTTGATTCGTACGGGTAACAATCTAATTGATGTAAATTATCAATAGTACAAAACCCAGGCTTCGAGTTATCTTTTCCCAAACAGTTACTGGTAATACTTGACAGACAGACACAACTGAGACACATGTATGCTCATTGTAACATTACAAGGAATGTGTGAAGAGCTCTTTGTGTCTTTAGAACTGGAGATCTGCCCATCGTAAAGAAGTATGCATACATGTATTATAAAAAGGGGTTGAAATGTGTTAATGTATATACATGTAATATTATTATTGCTATTTTGATTTGTAGACATTCAGACGTTTGCTGCTTAAACAATGCGAGGAGGAATTCAACAACAGAACTAAAGCTAGTCAAGGTAAACATTAAGTTTGACATGTTTAGTCTTTGTTTATTTTAATATTGTAGGAAATTGATTTACATTAAATTTTAGGTCGTGTAGTATACAACTGTTATGCTGGACAATTTATTAACAGGCTTTTAATTTTCAATAAGTAACAGACAAGATTACAAGTGTATTTTCCTTGCAAACATTAATCAAATAAATTGTGACTTGGGGCCTAACTATGATTATTTTGTAGCCTGAACAATGCAAAGCCACCGAAGATCAGTTTTTAGTTATTTTTGCAGCTTTTGAGCACCTCTGTGGGGATTTGTAGTAACTTTATTGTTGATTCCTTTGCGTGTTTTAGCTTTTGATAAAAAAGATGGACCACTTACACCGGATGAGGAAGAGCAGAGGTGTACTATCAAACGCAAAGTGTTGGGCAACATACGCTTCATTGGTAAGTGTTGGCAGAGCATTATTAATAACAGCCAATAACAGCCTGACATCAAACAATGTCAATCTAAAATTTACCTGTGTCCAACGATATCCTAATTGCAGTTGGACATGAATGCCAATCAGATCAGATAAAATACCATAAACTGTCATTTTTTTAGCCAATGGTTTAGTGATAGCAGAGCCCCATAGCTAAGAAAATCAATTTCCAAGAAATTTTAGTGGTCTGTCTGCACCACAGGTGAGCCAACATGAAATGTCACACTTTCTAGCTAGTGTGGAAACCTACAACCTGACATTGCACATCCATGTTGTGGTCAATTGACAGCTGTCACCACAGGGTGTCTGCTGACCAGTATCACTTGACTGTATTACAGGCTCAGTTTTTGACTCATTGAAATTATGTCTTTTTTCGAAGTTCTCTGCTGACAAGTTACTAGTCGCCGGCTCAACACTAAGTGGTTTTCTTTGCAATGCTTACAAGTTTATCATTTGAAGTAAATTATAAATTCATTAACAGGAGCTTTGCCTTCAGCCTTTCTCAATCTATAGTTTAGAAGATAACAAACATATGTTTGACAAGTTCCTTTCTGGTATGTTGGACTAAAATGGTGACCTAATCAGACAGTCATTTCTCCCCCGCCCCTCCCCCACCCAAAAGAAAAGTACTAGGCAGGCCTGGCTTATTTGTTGGTAATTGTTTTTGTATGATCAACACCTGGAGGAAGTGTGATTAGAGTTGAAAAGTGTTTACTAGGCACATGTACAGTCCAACCTCTGTTACATGGCCAACCTTGTTGATTGGACAAGTGGCAGCTTACTATACACTGTACGCTGGCTACTCTTTTTGCTGTGATTGTACTGGCAGTTGTGTCCGCCAGGGCTCTAGTAACTAGCTACTGACAAGGTGGTGGCTTTAATTCCCTAGTGGTGTTGACGTTACTTACATTGTTCAGTATTACAAGAAGTTGAAAAATGACTCAACCTGTAGACAAAAGTTAATTTTTGTTAACCAAAGTCTTGATACGTTGAATTCAGTTCAATGGAATTAACAACAAAGAGTGAAATCAATGCTGCTGGTCAGTGGTCGGTCTATTATGCTCATGCTCAGTAGAGTTTGCTACAATCATTGTTCACATGGTGTTTGTTTGAAACACCATTAATTAGGATTTTTTTTTCAATTGCTGGTTGCTAAGTGGTGTATTCAGTTAGATTTCTTCGTAAAAATATAATATTACAAATAATAATAGTGATGAAATTCCCTCTACAAAAATACCAAATTTGGCTTGCCGGCAGGGAAATCTTGTGATGCAAACAGTGCACTACATTTAGCTCCTTGCTTTGTTCCACTAGCACTGGTTATTGGTTAGCAATAACTTTTGTGCCCTGATCTATCAAAGAACAATATTAAATTATCAGATGAGGTATAGTGACTGTTACATGTAGTTTGTCTTGTCTGAACTTGTTTTTTCTTCCTGCAGGTGAACTTGCAAAGTATGACATGTTGCACGAAGCCATTGTACACAGGTGCATCAAGCAGGTCAATGAATATTTTTATTGTTCATTCCTTATATGATTATAAGAATATTATATTGGCACTAAAATGTGCAAGTTCTTGGTCTTGGAATATTCCTTTTTTTATCGTGGAAAATTTCTTGAAAACTTCCTGAAATTTCATCCTCACTTAGTAACAAACACTGATGAAATTTGTATTCTACAGTTGTTGGACAAGAAGAAGAGAGCAACAATGGCAGACATGTCAGAATCCATGGAGTGCCTCTGTTACCTGATGAAGACTGTGGGTCCTAAACTGGATATTCCCAAGGCAAAGGTATATTCCCTTTTGTAGTTAGATGACATTAGCAAAGTGTGCCACTGATAATTAGTGGCCTCTAGATATTGGTTTAACTCACATTCTCTGGCAGTCTTCAAGTTCACAGTGTTGTTTTGAAGTGATGTAATAGCAGTTGTTGCAGCAGTCTTTTTACAGTTTTGTACTGTTCCTTAATCCCAACCAATCCTTTTGCTGTTCCTCCACTGATTCAATTACTGTGATGGGTTTCTCCGATGGGGGCTCAAGGATTTGTGAGCTGTTGTAGTGGTGGTATTCTAATCTTTTAAGTGCTGGCTGGCCATAGTCAAAGTTCCTGAGTACAGTACCAAGGGTTCCACCCTCAATTTATAAAGAACATTGGGGTACTTTTTTAGTAACAGTGGATCCCTGATAAAACAAGTTCCAAGGGACTAGAAAAATAATTTGTTACAACTGGGGTATGATTTATGGGGCTTCTTTTCCCGGCAACCATTTTACTATAATTTGGCATGAAAAATTTCATAATTTGTTAAACTGGTGTTTTGCTGTAGGGGTTTGTTTTGTGGGGGTTTCACTGGGATGTTTTTCTTTAAATTTCTCTTTCCCTGCTCTCAGGATTACAACAGTGAACTGATTATTTTTTTAATTGTTTGTTGCAGCCCTTGATGGATCAGTACTTTGAGCGAATTCAGCAGCTTTTAAGCCGTACAGACTTCCCAGCCCGTATTAGGTTCATGATTGAAGATGTCATTGACCTTCGGAATGCCAAGGTAGATTTCCAAATGCATCAACTCAATTTTGATTGTAAATACAATATATTTTATTTTGTTTTATTTTTTCATTACTCATCATACAATATCATGTATGATACACCAAGGAACAGAAAGAAAAAAATATATCTATTTTTACTTTTATCCTTTTGAAGTATACAATGTAAAATTAAACCACAATGTGTAAAATCAGAAGCATATATGAGCACTTGTTTTTCTCTTGGAGGCAACTTTCAAAACTTGGGTTAAAATAAAAAATGTGTTAAGAGTTGGCAAAATACATAAATAACAAACAAATAATGTACAACCATGTATCAGCCAGCTTACCTGAATCACAATAAGAGGTTTTAGAATGTGGAATTTTTTTCACAAGCTCCTGGTCAGCATCAGATTTGCTATGTTGAATGTCCAAAGCTTGAAATGAGAATTTGATTACCAACATAATAGCATATTATCTTAATCGTTCATAAAATTCACTCAACGTGAGTTTGTGGTTTTTATCTTGTTCCTTGAGAACTGTTTTATTTGCTGTTCATAGAGGAAAAAAACATCATCATGCTAGCCTGAGCCTGTCTTTGAAGAACTGTTAAAATGTTGTCCTTCTAGTTCTGAACTTTTAGTTGTCGGACAAAATCCTCTATTGCTTTCTTTTACAGTGGATTCCACGAAAATCTGCTAATGAGGTAGGACCAAAGATGATCCAGCAAATTCGCCAGGAAGCGTGGCAGGTAACTTTTCGTCTTTTGTCAACTCACAGAGTCGACCCAAATTTGTAAGCTTACTGCATCATTCTTGGTGGCTTTATCCACAGGGCCTTGTTGGTCATCCTGGATTCCACGTGCCACCTCATGGCCACATGTCCAGGAATGCCCCACCTCTGACTCACAGTGGCTGGATGAATCGCCCCAGTGGAGGTGGCAGACCTGCAGAACCTCCACAGAGTCGTGGAATGAATGATGTCTTTGTTACCGACAATGGTTTCCGTCCCTCTGGTCCCCGGTTTGATGAGTTTGGCACTGGTGCAATGCCAACAGACAGGAGATCATTTGGTTTGAGGTAATTAATTTTGTATTTACTTGAACACTTTTTATAGGTGCTTTAAAAATAGTACCATACATTGTAGTACACTTACTACTGTTCAGCTTTTTGTGGTTCAGGTACTTACCACAGTGCTAGTAGTTTTTTGCATGTCAGTTTTGTTCATGTGTCATAGTATGTTGATCCTTCATTGTTGTACCTGTACACTTATTATGTTCACTGCAAGAAAAGTACACTGGTTTGCGAAGTAATCATCAGCTTGTGCTTTTTGTTGGTGAGTTTACTTGCTAGTACATGTACATCCATACCACAGTTTTGTTCATGCATTTATAGTATGTTAACCTTAGTTCTTTCGTACTGTACTTGTGCCCTTAACTAAAGTTCAGCAGTAAAAATCTAGTACAACACTTTGTATGTGCAAATAACTTGTTTAGAAGCTTAGCTCCCTTACTTTGGGTTTGGCCATGATCCAAGAATTCTTGTTGTTCTTCAAGATATGATGATGACGACTATGATCGATTTACCACTCGAGATCCATGGGCCGACTTGTCAACGAAACAAAGCTCCACATCTGTCAATTCAATGACTAAACCAGTAGGAGGTAAATAGCTGTTTTCAAATTGCAGAACTACCATAATTGTCTTTAAACTGCTAGTTTCAACGATGGAAGCATTTATTAATTCTCTGAAGAGCATTTGAGTCTGCAGACAAAATCCTATGGTGTGTCCAATCTTTGAATATCATTGAAAGCTTACTGAGTGGTACTTTCCTGTGGTACTGTTTGGTCTTTCATGTAAGGTGGTTTGGGACCTTTTGAGTATGTGGACCAAATTCTTAACTGTGACGGTCACCATTCAAATGAAACCTCTTTACATGCATGTAGCAGTACAAGTACTTTCACATGGTCCTGTTTGTTGTTAACAGGTTCCTTCAGAACATAATTTTTAAAGTATAAGGAGAAAAATATAAAATTAGTACACAACAACAAATTAGATCAAAAGTGGCTCTGCCTTTCACTTAAACCAGCAGCATTTGGAGGTCCTAAAAAGTTTGTTTTAATGACCTTTGAGCAACAAAGGGAAGTATTTAGCCATGAGGAAGGCACCTTTATTGCCTACATTTGTTTTATATTTTTATACATTTGTTTTTATCCAGTGGGAGACTCAAGAAACAAATGCAACTTATTAATTTTCCCTTTTGAATACACTTCTGTAAGTAGCTGTCACTACCATGATGACAATATGATGAAGTCAGTCTTTATGATTCAACAGTAAAATGAAATTTGAAGAATTTGTCAAAAATAATCTCAATCCTGAGCTTTTTGGGGGTAAAAGATTAACCATTGATGCTTACATGTATCTGTTGGTTAAACAATATGTTATTTTAAAAAAAAGACTCAGTGGTAAATATCACATGCATTGTTGGAGCTTCTATTTAATGATATGTATTCTTTCTTTAACAACTAGGTGGTTGGAGATATTCTTCAAGACAAAACCACTCAAATGCTGATGGAGAGGTACACATAACACTTTTTAGTGTGTCTCAATTCACATTAAATGAGGGAGACGTCATTTAGATAGTCTTTCTCTCAGAGTCAGAGGACGACCAAACATACATTTGCATTTTTTCTTTTCAACTTGGTTTGGTCATGAATCGGTTTCTTTTTAGCAGAAACATTTGGAATGGTTCAAAAATGGCATGACTTGTTTCCAAAAGGAATTTAAACTGCATGTGTTAATGGATGACATCTTCCTCATGACTACTGCACTGGGCCAGAGGGGATCAGCTGAGGGTAGTTTTTAAATAGGGACCTTACTTGGCTTCATTTCCATAAAACATGTAGTTTCTGATATGGTAAATGCATATTTTTTAGTGGAAGTGTACTTAGCTATGCAGCTTGTTTACAGACACTTCACTCAAATAATGATAATTGGAAACAGGCAATCTTAAGTATAACATACCAAGATCAAAAATCTCTTCTAGCAGGAGACAACCAGTTGGTTATTTATAAACAATACGTAGTATCTAAACTCTAGTGGACCACCAAGAAACAAATCCAGGTAATTGTCAGAGCGAATCAAACCTGGAACTGCCAGATTGCAAGTCCCACTTGCTTCAATCACTCGGTCATGTTGGCTCTCTGTCGGGAATGATAAATTTATTTTCATGTTTTTTTGTTTTCTAGATAAGTTTGAGGCCAGCAAGGGACTCAATTGCTGCTGCTCAGAGACCTGGGGTTGCTGGCAGATCTCAAACTCCGCCAACTCAAAAAAAGCTGGTAAGGAGTGTTTTCCTCTTTGTTTTTTGATTGGGAGAGACAGCTCCATTTTGTCAGAACTGTCTGTTTTCCAAGTTTGTAATATTATTGGTATAGGGTTGCTTGATTTTGTTCATACCCTGTTAAACATCCCTACAGTTTTATATTGCTTAGTGGCAAATCATTAAACACAGACAGTACATGTACTTCAAGATACTTTTGAAGATAATTGAATGAGGCTGAGTATGATGAAAGGAATTATGTAGATCAAGGAGAAGTTAAGCTATAGGCGAGGATGGATAACTTCTTCTGTGATTAGCATAATTATTCTTCACATCATACGAAAGCCAAAGTCAAAAGCAGATAACATCCATCGAGATATGTTTTGCGTATTCTTTTATTTCTTCTGTTCAGTTTTAGTCAGAAATTCAGCCATTTTGTCTTTGGATAGCCTTGAATACCATTTGTTTTTGTTCACTATTGCCGAAGCAGCAATGCGTCCAGGCAAATATACCATCTAATCGATGGTATGTTTATTGCTGGCATCTTCCAAATTTGGTCAGCATTAGCTGGTTAAGAAAAAATAACGAAGATTAAAGCCAGTAAGAAACGTCATAATATTTTGAATGAATTTGGTCAGCATTAGCTGATTGTGGAAAATTAATCTGGGATTAAAGCCAGTCAGAGACGTCATAATGTTTTGAATGAATAATGATTAGCAGTTATACCTTGTATGGCCTTTATTTCTCATTTTTCTTCCAGTTTTTAAAATAATATGCTTTATAAGAATGCGTAAGTGATGAAACTAGGGATTATGTTGCTAAAGAAAATACGCATACATGTAGTACCATGTGAAAGAATTGCTGAAGAGGTTTTGTTTGGATAGTCACACCGCAGGTTTTCGCCATGAAGTGTGAAAGTTGAAACACCCTCGCCTCCATAAAGTTGCCTCTAGAGGGTTTAGTCCTCTCATTCTCACAGCTAATTTTTTTTGATAATAGAGTCATAATTATACGGTACATGCATTTATGTTACCAGTCATTCATATAATGATTCTTTTATATCGTTCACTGATCACTGATCTCTTGTTAAACTACTTTAATGTTTCAGGATCCTTTAAACAGAACTGCTGCTCCACCCATTATTGAAAAAACAAAGAAACAAAATAAACAGCAGGCGCCTTCAACAGCTGATCTTAACAAACAAGTGGTGAGCTAAGTCTGTCAGTTATTTGCAAGGTTCCAAAGAAAAATGTTTCTAGTTTGTCCGACACGCAACGGGTTTCAAACTAAGAAAATAAATGAAAATAGTTTCACTCCAAAAGGTTTTTGCAGTTTCTAAGGTCGTACTTTTGCTTACGAAGTTTTGGCTCTAGATCTGCTTTCTAATTACAACGTTGGTCGAATTTGACTTTCCAGTTAACTGTCAGGAGAGGTGGATGGGGGTGTTGGGGGAGGGTTTTGGGCAGCTCCTGAAACCTTTTGTTACTGGTATTTACATGTAGCGTCAAAAGTTTACCGTAAATTTATATTATTCTGGCATTCTCAATTTTTTACTCTTTGTTCAAGAACAATAAAGTTTTTTAAAGAATGAAAGGCAAGGTAGGCTGAAGGCTGAGGTTTCTTTTCAAATCAGTTACACACTCGATTTGGTCCAAGGAGAATGGAAGTTGTCTTGCCGCTGCACTTCCACTTACATTAATACAGCCTTCAAAAGGAATTAAGGAGTTAAACAATTGCAACAGGGTGACAGCTTCCTTCAGTAATGCTGTATGAAACTCCTAGCTTGCTTAACTTGTAGCTTCAAGGCTCTACTCTAAGAAATATTGAAGGGAGCCCAGTGCTCTGAAACTGTGAAATCTAGGGTGCCCAGCATATGATATGTATGAAAAAAAAAAACTTAGGCGCCAGTGGGATTCAGGCTCTGCTAGAGCCTTGAGCTTTTAGTTGTGTGGTGTGCATGATGGTAATAGACCTTGCATCTGTTATTTTTCTCAGGACAACATTGTCACAGAATATTTAGATTCTAAAGACACTGATGCAGCAGTGAAAGCTGTGAAAGACATCAAAGGGTCAAGGTAAGTGTCATTTCGTTTTAAAGTTTTGATTATCAAAGGCCGAAGTTCGTAAAAATCCCCAATTTCGTTTTGTAAAATATAAGCACAGTAATAATAAGCAACGACGAATTTTTCTTTCTCTTTTTAAACTTGACTGCGGTCCCCAAGAAATCAATCCAAGGGAAATTCGCCTTCATTTGACATTTTCAGCAAATTGTTAGAAACGCGGAAAAGTCTTTAAATCGCAAATTCATTTTGAAAGTGACGTTTTTGCTGCCTTGGCGTCGTCCATGCTAAAGCTCCCTAATAAACAGAGTCACAGGAAAGTACTGCTCAGTAGCTTTCACTTGAATGGTCACACTTTAGGATTTTGTTTAGGGACTCAAAAGTTACAACTACCTTTTTACAACGTAAGAGAAAGCGCCACGGAAGAGTACTGTTCAGTAGCTTTTATTTGAATGGTCACACTTAGGGATTTCATTCAAAGAGTTGAAAGCTAGAACCCCCTTCTACTGCACACTAAAATATACCAGATCAAAGTACTACTCATCACCTTCCATTTGAACGGTCATGTTTTATTTTAACTTGTACAGTACAATGTTAAAACTGTACCACAGGAAAGTACCAGTAGCTTCCATCTGAATGGTCACTATTCAAGGTTTTCTTCACAGATTCAAAAGTTAGAACCATTGTGTACTTAAATATTAAAACCGTACCACAGGAAAAAAATGCTCAATAGCTTTCATTGAATGATCACCCCAAAAGTTTGAAACTAGATTAAGTGTGTGTACATCTTCAGAGGGAGGTTTAATTACCGTTTAGAGCTGTCTTTGTGATTTGTGTCATGGTACATTCTTAAATTTTATGTTACTTGATAAAATTTATACTCTTCATACCAGGTACTTCACACTACTGATGACCCAGCTACTTGCGGCATACCTTACAGCTGAGGATGATGAATTGTTTATTCAGTTATTTGTCAGCTTACACAAGTCAAATCTTCTCACAGCAGATATTTTTATCAAGGTATAGGTTTTTCTGCTTTACTGGTCAATTGGATACAAAGTCATTTCGATTCAAAGTCGTTTCGATACAAAATCGTTTCGATACAAATTCGTTTTGATACAGAGACGTTTCGATACAAGTCTTTTCAATTCAAGCTGACTCAGTCGAGAAGTTAATAGTTTCTCGAACTTTGCTTAAAGAACGAGGAATACATTCACCCCGTATGTTTTTTCTTGTTCACCCGCCAGCTATACTTGTGATGTTGGCTATCAACTAAGGAGCTAATTGTTTCTCTAGCGTTGAGTTCCATCTTGTGCAATTCACAAAACTCTGAAACAAAATGAACGAAGCTGTACTAGCAGAGTTCTTTTTAAGCTCCCTTTTGTCCAAATTCCGTCTCTCTCACTGGCTACCTTTCAAATCAAATGTTCTTTTCTCCGTCGCTGACGTGAACATATATAGTATGAATTTTAGAAGCCTGTGCCGGGCATGTAAGTTTACATATTAAACAATATCAGCTAGTGTTTCGTGGCGGACAAAATACTCAAGTGTGGTATGTTTAGGGTTGAATTACTTTGTTGTCAAAATTACGTTTATATGTACAGCTGATTTTTAATATTTTCTTTTGTCTACTATTTTACCTTCAGGGAGTTTCAGAGGTGCTGGAAAAGCATCAGGAATCTGATGAGAATTTCAATGTGAAGAAACAGATGGCACAGATTATAGCAAAGTCTGTAACTCAGGTACAGAGGACTTGATATTAACCCTTTCATTGGCTACCCATTAAAACTTTAATGGCCGTATTCACACACATTATCAGTGGAAAGGTTTGCAAGCCATTGTCACTTTCTAACCGACTTGCAAAGGGCTGCTCTGCCTCTAGGTCTTTCACCTCAAGATAAAATCCGCGGCATGAGCTCTCCGTTTTCAGTCTTGCTTCAGATCTTTCGTTTGACTGTTCGCATGTTGACAAAAATAAAATGCACTGTTTCGAAGTCTAGTGCACCAATTCAACCTCATTTTCCTTACATGCCGTACATCCTCTTAAATAAGCGTCCCTTTTTTCAGGGGAAGAAACTGAAGCCGCCCTCCCCTTATTCTTCAAAACCAAATTATGAATGATAGATTCCCTCGGCCCTCCCCCTCCTCCTCCCCCCACAAAGAAAAACAAAATTCCCGAAAGATGGGCCCATCTTGACAGTTGCAGCTTCCCTTTTTGTGTTCTACAAGTAAAAGGTTGTCTTGCATTTTATAAATCCTTAATCAGTAACGCATATGTATGGGAGTTTCCTGTGAATACTTTTGTCAATTTTTTTTGAAGAGAACGTGTGTCTAATTATTATGTAATTTGATTTTTGGTATTCAACAGGGAATTCTGAGTCTGACTGAAGTTAGCTCCCTTAGTGACGATGGAAATTTTTACCCCACCCTCTTGTTGTGCTTAAAAGAACTGGAGAATCTAAAAGGACAGGTGAGATAGTTCAATAACACATGTTACTTGAGTATCAGGGTTTTTTTAGTGGGGAGGGGAGAAGTGAGTGGAGGTCCCTTCAAATCTCCCCTCCCCTTCCCTCCACGGAGGCCTGATGTTTGGGTTACATTTGCATGTTAAAGCCTGGTTTTGACGATTAAAGATTTCATATTATGGCAGAGAGTCTGTTGTCTCTTAAGTATCAGGGGTTTTCTAGCGGGAAAGGGAGAAATAAGTGAACGTCTCTTCAAATATCCTATTTCCTAACCCTCTACGAAGGCCTGGTATTTGGGTTACGTTTACGTGTTAAAGCCTGGTTTTGATGATTGAAGATTTCATGTGATGACAGAGAGTCTTTGCTGTGTCTTGATCAATCTAGGGTTAATGGCTATCGTTAAGGTTTTACTACCAAAGATGACCGCTAAACAACAGCAGAGCGGAAGCAGCGTGACCGAGTAGTCAGCACGTCGGATTCGCAATCTGGCGGTCCAGGGTTCGAGTCCCGCTCTAACCACTTGCTGGATTTATTCTTGGTTGTCCAGAGTTCAACTCCTTGGCCGCGCTTGTAAATAGCCAACTGCATGGTTGTCTCCTTCCAGTTGGGGGTTTACATGCTGTGATGTCTATTTGATTACTTGTTTCTAATTATTTGTGGAGCGCCTGTAAATTAGCTGGATTAGCTAAGTGCACTTTCCCACTATAAACAAACCTTCAACCTTTAACCCTTTTTAACGAAATTCAAACAGATCCTAAATTTACTTTGTTTATACTGTAGGAGTGGCTGGTGAAAGAATTTACAGACAGTAAACTGGATCTACTGTCAACTTTACCAGGTTTGTAGAATTATTACAAAGTCTGTGTACATCAATTTATAAAATGGGGGCAAAAACATCAAATAACCAAACGGCGCAGGTGCATGTGGTTAGCGTTCTAATCTTTTCCACTTTTATGTAATAAGAATAAACCAATGCGCCAGTGAATTAGTTATTAAGTAACAACTTTGCTTTAAGAGGGTGGCACATAACAGTGGAAGTTACAAACTACTGCCCCTCTATCCTAATCAGATTACTTAATACTTTAAATAGTTCTAAGATAATCACAGCGAATTAAAAACTAAAATGCTACAGATAAGGAAAAGGGATATATCCATTAAAATTTCCAAGATGAAAATATTATACACTTAAAAAGCTAAGCTATTTTTTCCATCAGGAATTTCCAAGTTAACCAGGAATTCTTTTATCAGACCATTTATTGGGCTTTTTTGTATTTGTTACAGAGGAGGACAGAACAAGCGAAAAGTTCATGTCTATCTTAGAGAAGCAGGTAATTTTGTTTAGTCTTGTTTTTGGTGGTGAATGAGTGAATGAATGAATGAATGAATGAATGAATGAATGAATGAAGCAACCAACCAACCAACCAACGATCGAGCAAATGAATTAACGCGAACAAGAACGAACGTGGTTGCTTAAGCCGCTCCTTGAAAAGTTGATTTTTGCGAGCTGTTCCTTCAAATTTCTTCAAAACAATTTGATTATTTGGTCCAAAATGTATATCCAACACTTCAAAAAGTATTGTTTCCGTTCGATGTACAGGCGCCTCGAATGGACCTAAAAAAACTCTCCTGCGCCTTATTTTTTAACCGACTCTTTGATGTCTGGATATCGGATGAAACCGGCGCTCCTCGTGTTCGATGTATTGCATGAAAATGAGTTTAAAACAGTCTAACCAAGTTGTCGAACCTCTCCTCAGAACCTGGTGTTCCTGTATCCCCTATTGCATATCCAAGCGGATCTTTTTTCCAAGATCGAAGAGGATCCAAGTGTTACTGCCATCTACAAGTGGGTGAAGGTACGGTACTTAACACACATGTAAGTAACGCTTTACAGTGCGATGCGCTTAGTCTTAGCAGAGTCTTAGCAACGCAACCTTTCAGTTCTTTCCTGATACAGCTGGAAGCAAAGGCGTTTTTGATTGAAGCGTGTCAACCGGAAGTGGATTTTTTTGCATTCTAATCTTGAGTGGTGCCAAATTTTCGGGCAAATTTCCCCTTTAAGGGTAAATACCCTTAGCAATACGAATTTTGTGGCGTCAATAAAAAAAGCCTCGTTTCCGTTCGATGCTGTTGCTCAAAACGTCTTTGCTTAAGCTCCCTGTTGGCTACTTTGGGTCACATGATATTTGACTATGACAGTTTTTTCGCCAAAATTATCCAATTGGGTGTCGCTGCAAAATCTATATCCTTCCGGCTCAGAGGGAAACAGTGCATTGGTACGGTTCTGTTTTATTTAGAATGTTGTTTGTTTTTCTTGTTCGTAGGATAATGTAGAATGCTCCTGGCACACAAATCCTGAGTTCGTTAACGTTCTCACCACTTGGTAAGTTGAAGTATTTTGCGAAACAAGATCCTTCTCTTCTGTTCTCGACCTTCTCGGGTGTTTCCTGTTGTTGCAGAAACCATTGTTGGCTGGCTGGTTTGCTGTGGTGTGGGTATTCAGGGTGCAAAGAAAATCATTTTTACAGCTTGCCCTTTGGGCAAGCTGAAGCTAGCATTTACTAGCCCAGACGTCATTTCAACTAGCCCCAAAAATGTTTTGTTCTTCTGTTATTCAAATTCCTCATACAACATCACTTGCCCGTCGGGCAAGTTAAAAACAGAATTCACTAGCCCGATAGCAAAATCCACTAGCCCCGGGCTATCGGACATTACTTTCTTTGCACGCTGGTATTGTTTGGTGTCTTTTCAATCTTAACTCTTTAAGCTCCAATATCCAGATTCAAATATTATCCAAACTGATTTCCATACATTTACTAAAATAATTGGTTGACAGGATTTTGACAAACGATCATAGAGTTCTCCCTTAGTTTATTTTATTATTTTATTTTATTTTTTTTAATTTAAAATCTGAATCTTTTATTGATAAGAAAACTAACTACAAAATCCGACCTATTTACAATTAAATTTTGCTTAAAGAAAAAACTATCCAGTACAAGTACTATTTACAATTCATTTCAATTAAAAAAACCCACATAGTTCCGATTAAAAAATTCATTTCAATTAAAAACCGTTATTCGAATACTAATACTAATTCTACTAATAACAATTATAAAAAGCATCGAAAAGTTAATAAAAAAATAAAAAAAACTATTTAAAAATAATAATTCAAACTGATAAAAAAGTTACTACTTAGATTCTGGCTTGCGCACTTTCCGATGTAATGTCAATGTCAGATATATTGGCTGCTCTTCTCTTGCTTCTGGTTCCTCTGAGACACAGCAAGGCTGATCGTAGGATGGCAAAGGATACTTTCGCCCTTATCCAAGATATGGTTGCAGCGTAGTCATCTCCTTTCTTTAACGCAAGTAGCTCTGCGAGGCGGCTATGGAATCTCTTGCATTCATCGGCCATTCCACCTGTGCTTGTAAAGACTAATGGTGTGAATGTCCCTTGCTCCACTTCCAAAACCTTAGTTTCCAAAACCTTAGTCTCCCTTAGTTTATCATTTCAATAATTCTCATTACCTTTCCTCTTCATTTTGTAACAATGCTGTTGGGAGAAAAACTGATGTTGATCACTCACAGGACTTATGGTGATTGCACCCGTCCGCAACACCAAGAAACTACCACCTTCGAATTAGACTCACCGTTGCTTTACCGACTCAGCTACCAGGCCAGAACAGACTAAGTCGTGAGAAAATTGTTTGTTCCGTCATTTGTGCTACGCGGTTCAACACTTATATGGGACGTAACAATGTCTAGTAGTCACAACCCTAGTATAGTTCTGTTATGGTTTGCAGGAATGGGTAGGGAGGGGAGGGCAATTCGCAGAGAACTCAGGTTTCCCAATTATTACTACTCCCATAGGATAGGTCTGGAGGGGCCCTTCCTTATTCAAAAACTGTCACTTACCGTAAATCCTCTTTTAAGCTCCTCCCTCTCAAATAATCCCCTTCTCTTAAGCTCCCCTTTTGCAGGGGAAGAAAGTTAATAAGCCCCACTCCTCTTCCCCTTATTATTCTTGACTACTAAACGATAGACTGTACTAATTAATCACGACTGTAATACTTCTTGTGGACTCATCTTGGATAGTTTATTCACTGACTGGAAGTTCAGATTTGTTTTTGATCCTCGACTGCATGACCTCCAACTTCTAGTCCTTGAGCTTTTCCACTTTAGTTATTGTCCTTTATGGAGAACTGATACCATAGTCTTTGCTAAATTGAATAAGCCCCCCACTTCTCAAATACCCCCCCGGGGGGGCTTAATGGAGGATTTACGGTAATCCACCAACTATGGTTCTTTTCCAATACAGCCTGCTTAAGTTTGCCACCAAAGACAGCACCCTAGCTGATGGTATAGATGCCTCACAGGCTCCAGATAAAGACGTCATAGAGAAAGAAAAAGCAGCGCTCAAGAAGTTATTGCCTCTAGTGGAGAAGTTTGTTCACGAGAAAGTTGCGTTGCAAGTGAGTTGTCCTGCTTTGTGCATAGCCTGCTACGCTTTTGACCTTCTTTTTGCTTTTCTTGCAATGATTTGAAAGCAATAGAGGATTTCGTGAGAAGCCAAAGGGACCTCTGCGCAGGAATCCGCGATCGAAGCATTGTCTTTCGCTTTTGTTATCCTGCATTCGCCACTTCGAGGTTGCGCGGGAGACCGGGTCAAGATGGTTTTAAAGTGCATTGTGGGACTTTTTGGGGGACGCATTTTCAACATGGCGGCAAATTCGTTCCCCAAAACAGTCCCACAGTGCACTTTGACAACCATCTCGACCCGGTCTCCCGCGCAACCTCAAAGTGGCGAATCAGGGCACGGTCGTTCAAACGTTACGTAGCGCTATCCACCAGATAATGCAGTCAATATCCAGTGCATAAGTATGAGGGAAGTCAATTGTGTTATCCAGTGGATTGAGATTTCTTCAGTGGATTGCGTTATCCACCTTTTGAACAACTGGGGCGTGGGCTCAGTAGTTCAGTAGGTGCGTAGCACTGATACCAACGACTTGCGGTCAATTCGCTCACTTGTAGTCAATTCTGTCAGTACTAATTCCTGGTTTGCTTGTGTTTACAGGTCAGCGTGCTCTATGCACTGCAAGTGTTTTGCCATAGTCATAACTTTCCTAAAGGTACTGCTGCATTTAGTACGCTATTCTATTGACACTGAGGGATTGATGTCGTCTTATCTTGATTAGGGAGCTTAAGTAACTGGGGTGACGACTTCAACAAAAACGACAAGGAAAAACGGCAAACCAGAGGCTTAACCAGCAAGACAACAAATCTGCACGTGTATCGCACTTTTTGGTACATTTTTATCCTCATTATGACCACCAAACCGATCACCATCTGTTTTACTTAAGGCATTTAAGTAAATCGTGTGTCTCGTTATAGAGTCCAAGGGACCGTTTCTCAAAAGTCCCGATAATTTCGGGGCCCTAAAAGGTGTGTGGAGTCCAAAATCGAGGTTTCAATCGTTTCGCAAATCACGTGATAAAACTATCAGTTGACAAAACAAAATGGAATGGTTTATTAGCTAGGAAGCGCGCATTTATTCTTTATTCTGTTTCTGAGAAACTGGCCCCAGAAGTGCAAGAGGTATTTTGGCAGGAGCCCATTACCGTCTCCTGATATTGGTCAGTGCCGTTAATGTTGAAATGATCCTGTTAACTAACTGCTAGATGTGTTTATTATAGGTATGCTGCTGCGCATGTTCGTGTTGTTGTACGACACTGAAGTTGTGGAAGAAGAAGCATTTTTGAGGTGGAAGGAAGATGTGAGTGAAAAGCACCCCGGCAAAGGAAAGGCTCTCTTCCAGGTACGGTGTAGCTCCGTAGGTTCTTGATTGATAATTCACAAATAATGAAAATCCTCGAGTTACAGGTAACCCACGCGGCCACAGCTTAACCAGCCATCATAATGCATAATGCATTTGGTGCTACCCTGTGAAATGGAATTGTTATTTACCACCGGAAACACGACTAATCTGCATGAAGAGTAGGTGCTTAGACACCTTTAGATTGTAGAGTTGTCAGTAATAAGGAGGCAGGGATTGTATAAAAGGTCTGTAAAGTTTGACCCTCTAGGACCAAAGGGGAGCGATGGAAAGGTGGAGAGTTGTCTGTCCGTATATAAGGATCTTGGCTTATATTTTTGTGTCATGATCAAATGCTTATTATTCTCTGGTCAAGTAATTAAATTTTAGTATCTCTGCATTTTGAAAGAGCATGTATGAGCTTGGAAGGCCGAGTAGTTTTGAAAAAAATTATCCTTCTAAATCTTTATTTAAACACGGGAATCATCAGTTAAGCTTAAGTTAAAGACTGAAACTAATTACAACTGCTTTACGTGATTACCGTGTGGGAATCCGATATATCAGCTACTATCTTCATATTTCGCTTAAAATGCTCAGCAGATGCAGCATTTTTGAGCTTTTGGTCAAGTTATTTCATAACATGGCCCCGCTGTAAGAGAAGCTTCGTTTCAAATAATTGGTGCTTGGTTTGGACAGGGTCAGCCTTCCCTCAGAGTTTTTTAAGTTGTAAGCAGAGTGACGCTGAGAGAAAAGACTTAAATATTCCGGAGCAAGGTCATTCATGGTTTTATACATCATTAAGACTTTTTGTTTCTTTCGTCGAAGAGATGGCCTCTCCCAGTCGAGGGTGGAGAAAAAATTTGAAATTTTACAAAGAATAAATGTCGGTCCCATAAACGTTTTTGCCTCCCCGCAATTTCGCAGTCTTTGGTCGATGTTATTTCCGTAGATATTGCTTGCAAACAGCTGAAAATTGCACAAGTTGCTCACGTTTTCCAGCCCTTCAGTTTTGGACTTTCTGTGGGTTAACTCGTTTTGTAATGAGTATAAATGTAGACGATGAGGTCCGCAATGATTCGCCTATTAAGAAGGTGTGTCAAAGGAGAGGTACAGTACCTTGCAGGTTAAAAATGTGTCTTGCATGGAGTACTTCCACATGCATTCTTCCCTGGTTAGGTTGCTAATCCGAAGCAGGGCTGAAACTCGAATGATACTGATGTGCAGTCCTGTCTTTTTTTTCCTCAGGTAAACTCATGGCTCACTTGGTTGGAAACCGCTGACGAAGAAGGAACAGACTCAGAAGCTGAGTAACCAAGCCGTTCATCTTTGAAGAGGAGAAAATCTGAAATGAATGAGTTTCCACCAATCAAACACGATTGTGAGGGACAAGAAAAAACGGAAAAATGCAAAAACAAAATTTGAAAAAAACAATTTGAAGTATTTACTATGTAGGGATTTTCAATTTAGTTTTCTTTTCGTGGATAATATTTTTGTCCATGGATTTCTTTTAGCCTGTTTCAGTACAAATCTTGATATAGATTCAATCGCTTACCCCTTAATTGCACCCTTAAATGTTTCGATAGTTCAATTTACATGGTCTTTGTATATTGTTCTTCTTTTCTTTTCGACAGTGCTCTTTACAGCGCGTTTTCACTCACGTGACCAGCAGCTATGCAAATTTATAAAACAACAGGAAACGTTTACAGAAAAAAAGAGTTCAACTCCCACAGGATTTGTTTGGTACACCTACATGGCCGCCCTTTTATTGTTTTGGAGCACCAATATGGCCGCCGTGACGTCATGTGAAAACGCTCTATTTATTTTTAGCTTTGCATTTGTGGTATGCTCTTAGCGTTCAGCTTGGCATAATTCTGTATGTATTAGACCATTACAGCACTCTGAGCGATGAACTAGCATCAGCTTCCAGTAACTTACGTGCAGGCTACTAATAACAAAAGTCTCACAGCTCCACTTTACTCTATTGTTGACCCATTGATATTTAAACATCTCTGACTTGCAATTTTCAATAAGCACTGTTTTCATAATTCAAAAATAATATTAAACATGTAATTTTTTTATGTCCTAATTACTCGATCAAGTTTTCTGTCTAAGTTGTACATTCTTCAAAAACGAACATTTGCAGATCTGAGTCTTTCTTTATAAAACGTATAATTATCTTGCGTTAAAAAACGTGGCAGAACTGAATTGAGGTCTGGTTTGCAAAGCTTACTGTAGATTTTCAAGCGCAAATAGTTTGTCTTAAAATACAACTGTCTTTAATGTTTAACTAATTCGTGAGAATCGCTGGCAGAATTCCGGTAATTCTGGTTTAGCATATTGTCAAAATTAGAATCTAAAGAAGTTAATATGGCGGTTTTCTGGTAACTGGTAAGATATTAAACCAAAAATTACTCGAGCTCAACATATTAAATCAACACACACAACAGAGAGTGCTGGAAAAAGCCTGAAGTTGAGGTATCCTCAACTTAAGCTGTGATCCTGAATGGTTCTGATTTAACCTTTGCTCTGATTGGCTAAAAATAGCATGGACTATTTAACCAATCACAACGCAAAACGACCAGCAAACGAAAAACACGAAAAACAACAACAACGAACGAACAAACAACTACCACTACCACTGCTGCTGCTTTGTTCAGTGGAAAACCGCTGTAACTCAGTTGTACATTATTCAGTGTATTTTCTCACGTTTACTTTTAGAAACAAAATACTTTCAAATCTCTTTACAACTTAAGAGTCACAACTTAGCTGGTAAATAATGAATCTGTAGACTAACTAACAATTTTCTTTTAATCACTGTCCTTTATTCCAAGTATTAAATAAAAGTCGAATAAAAAATTTCCCAAACTACAAGGTGACAGTATTACGTCTTGTTAGTTACCTTGTATCTGTATAGTGACACAGGACTAAAAAATGGCCGGTCAACTGACAATGTCCGGCTAAGATAATCAATCCGGACAAACTTTCGGTTTGCCAGTCATTTTGGCCAAACACGTAAATAAGAGGCCAGAAAAAATACATTTTCACACTATTACGTTTCAATAAGCCAAGGCAGCATCTTTTTTCACCATACGTTTTTGCTTTTTAAGCTATAACATTCAAGTTACCATTGTGTTATTTTTGACATTTTGACCAGTCAGAGGAGAAACGGGAACGAGCTAAAATTCCTATGGCCGGTCAACACGGTCGGCAGCATGACCTAATTCATTTTGCCCCATGTATATGGGGTACAAGTGTTATTTACAAGTGTAACTGTTGTTCTCAGATTTCAAAACGGTGGCTACACTTGTAATATAGTCTAAAGGTACGGAAAAACGGGCAACAAAAAACGTACAACTTGTTTTGCAACATTGCTGCAAAGCGAGTTGAATAGCGATGTTGCGCGTCTTACCGCCCACGTTCAAACCTTTTAACAACCTGGTAAAACGCGCAACATCGCTATTCAACTCATTTTGCAGGAATATTGCAAGCAAGTTGTACGTTTTTTGTTGCCCGTTTTTCCGTGCCTTAACTCAGGCCCCGTCCACACGAAGACGATTGTAAACGCAAACGCTAGTAAACGCAAACTTTTTTATGCGTTTAGGCCTTTCGTCCACACGAAGACGATGAAAACGCTCACCGTAAACGCATAAATTCGAAAACGCTCTCCAAAGTGGTGGTGGCGCCTGGTGGAACAACTTTGCCGATCAAGTGGTGATACCGGAAGAGTGGAAAGAGAACTTTCGAATGAGCAGAGACTCGCTATATAATCTAGCTGAAGAACTGAGACCATACATTCGGTGTATGACATCGTTTTATGCGTTTACGAGCGTTTTCGTGTGGACGGGTTAAAACGCTACGTAAACGATGATCGTTTTCGCGTGGACGGAGATAAAAATATGCGTTTACTAGCGTTTGCGTTTACAATCGTCTTCGTGTGGACGGGGCCTCAATGTTGTACCCAATTCAAACCCTTTGGGAATAAAACGTTTTGTTTTGAATTTCCATATCAGTTAAATGTGAATTCCACATTATAATGCAAGTACAATACACAACGAATCTTAACATTGAGTTGGCCGAATAGGTCTATTATTCTGGTACACAAAGTTTTATTAGATTGGCCCCTAATGATAAATCGTCCTCCACCCAACACTTCTAGTACATGTGCTTTTTTTTTTCCTCAAAACTCACCCTGTCTAAATAGTAAACGGTTTCGTTATGATGTCTCAAAGCAAAGAAAAGAAAAGAAAAACAGCAACAGATATTTCAGAAAGGGTTGCCCAGTCTTGTTTCGAGGTGTCACATGAATGCATTTTTGTCACGTGTTGATCGTGTTGACTCGAACCTTCAAAGGAAATCGAAAAAGGTTCGAGTTATCCGGAGCTCGAAGAAAATAGCCGGGAGTAAGGAAAAAACAGTTTTTACTGCACAGTGAGCATTTCAATCACATTTAATTGTAGAAATGTTGAGTGAAAATTGAAAGATAACAAAACGTTGCCTAAATAGAGCATGCATTTTACTTTTTGAGAACTAAAGCTATTTCACGTTAGATTTGTGACAAACAACATCAGCCTCCACTATCGATCCACTAGTAAACTATATGCCTAGAACACGTCAATGAGAAATTCAAAATTCAATGTTTCGGACGCCAGTACACCGTTTTTTCCCGACTTTTTAAGGGCTCAAAACATGGTTCGAGTTATCGAGGGTAAATTATATAGAAATGATCTGAGGGGAAACAAAAATTACTTCGAGTTAGCGGGAGGCTCGAGTTACCGAGGGTAAAATTGCAGAAAATGTATGACGGAAATCCAGGGGAAATCGATTTTGTTTCGAGTTAGCGCGAGGTTCGAGTTAGCGAGGGTTCGAGTTATCGGGAGTCAACTGTACTATCCAGGGAGTGGCCGACAACCGGTCACTTAACACCGGGGCCCGGTTCCTGAAAGGCTGATTAGCGCTAATCCAGTGGATTAAAATTCTGTTCCGATTTTGTATTTTACATTTTTACGTATCGCTTAGAGTAACTTTTTGTGTTATCACAAATTTTTGTATCTCGGAGTAAAAGACAATAAAACTTTGCGTAGAATTTGGCTTCGCCCTTGGGGGCCGCGCATTTTTCTCTTCTGGAGGCTGGGGCCTAGTTGATGACACGCCGAAGGAAAGACTGGGACTTGTTTCTCTTGCGCAACCAAACATGGCGGACGGTCTTGGATTCGCGAGAAAACAACTTGAAAAGCACGGCTGGAGCGAAGGTAAAATTACATGTTTGAGCAATGAGAACGAAATTTTTACTAATAAGGCTGTAAGTGAGGGAACAAGTAAGTTTGTGCCCTGACGGTTTTCAAGAAACCAAACGCAGAACGGTTTATCTCCCACGTGGTACTTCGTCCCTTAAAATAAGCTTACATTTTGTGGTAAAACTTGGCTTTATGGCAAAAGACAGGGGCACTTTCAACCACCGAACCAAAGGACCTAGCTTGGCAACTACATGAAACTCATCTGATTAATGTATTTCTCATTCTTTTTGTCCAATGCACATGTATGTGGGCTGAAAGGAAATCATCTGACGAACCTCTCTTATCTTTGCAAGAACAACTCAGTTTATAGAAGGATAAGCTCAAGTTTAGCTTTTTCTTCTCAGTTAATGAAGCCATTTAATTCACTTTTTAATTCATTTCCAGGTAAAGGACTTGGAAAAGAGGAAAGTGGGATTTCAAAAGCCATTAAAGTCAATGTTAAAACTGATTTGGCAGGGGTAAGCTACATTTTTTTCGAAACTGTTTCCCTCCCTCCTCCCAACTTTTCCTTTTCCCTTTTTGGCGGGGAAACATAGACATGTTCAGATCAACTGATCAATCTTTGCATCCTACGGGACACATGCTATGAATTACTTTGCATTTTGGGGGATTTTTAATTATACAAAAGGGACGCAGGACACAGAGGTAACAAAATCACTGCACTTGTTACATTTAGTTACAGAAGTTCTCATAAAGCCCTTATGTTGCTTGCCAAAAAATTGAGAATTGCCCCTCTCACATTTGTCTAACCATGGCATTCATTGTCTTAACCATGGCATTCAGCAATGCCTTGCAGTAATGTTTAGCCAGAGCAGCCGTGTCTCCCACCACAATTGTAGGGGTATGACCCAGAGGGCCCCTTTCCTTCAGAAGAAGATAACAATGTTGTTGTCAAACCAATTTCTTTAGATAAAAGGCATTCAATAGAGTGCTATTTGTTGGATGTTGTTGACCCTCTAACCCAGTCCACTCAACTGGGTATCGATCTTTATATTCAAACCCTAGACCTGGTCAGTGATAGAATGGAATGATAGTTAGATCTCCCTGGAACAGAAAATTACTACCCAGACGTGAGGAGGACAGGCTCCGATGTAAAAGTGATCAGGATGCTTGTGGGGGAAATTGCAACTACACCCCTAAAAAAAAAACAATGTTGGTAGGGCTCGGGCTTTATTTGACCCCCAGGAAGATGCTCATTTTTTGACAAGTCTGAAAAAAGGCAGGTGCATGTTCAATTGTTTAAATTGTTACTAATAATATAATAGGACTTAAAGATAATGCTTGTTTAGAGTATCTGGGGTTTCCACTTTCACCAGCAAGCCCACCAAAGAACATTTCTCATGGCAGTCCGAGAAAATGAATGTCAAATTTCACAAAATTACATCTTACACTTGAAATTTTCAGAATTTTGCCCGTGTTTTCACAATTCTTGTGAACTCTTAGTAGTAATTTTCTGTTCCGGGGAGATCTAACTATCATTCCATTCTATCCCTGACCAGGTTTAGGGCGTGAATATAAAGATCGATACCCAGATGAGTGGACTGTGTTAGAGGGTCCACAACATCTAACACATAGCTAGCGCTCTATTGAATGCCTTTTATCTAAAGAAATTGATTCGACAACAACGTTGTTATTTTCTTCTGAAGGAAAGGGGCCCTCTGGGTCATACCCATATAATAATATTATTGTGGTGGGAGACGGCTGCTCTGGTTAAACATTGCTGCAGGGCTGATCGACATCACTGAACGCTGGTGAGAGATTATCTAAGGTTTCTTTGTCATAGGCGTTAATATTCGAACTGCTGTCTCGGGGTATACCTGGGTATACGAGGCAAACGCACCGTTTGATCGACAACGACAATATGCTGCTCCACAATTTCCTCATCCACTTTCGTCTGGGAAATCTGGTCAATTCTTCGTAAAACGGAGTCAAGAAACCTTGGAAAGTCAGACTCCACATCGAAGTGGAGCCTTGTGTCATCTTAATATTAAGCTTCTATTTCCATAGCTGGCATTCTAGCCGCCACCGCCGCCATGTTTTTAACAAGCAATGATCTGTGTCACTGACCAGAAGTAGTGAGGGCTCAAAAGAGTTGAATGAATAGTTGAATGTTGAATTAAAGTTGAATGTTGAATGAATAGTTGAATGTTTTAAAAATTAAAGTTGAATGTGGAATAAATGGTTGAAATTGTTGAATAGATAATTGAATGGGTGAATAAGGAATTGAATATAAAATGAATAGTTGAATGTTGAATGCGAAGTTGAATATTAAATAACGCGTTGAATGTTGAATATAAGTTGAACATTAAACGCATAGTTGAACACATAATACAAAACTACATATAAAATTAAACGAATTGAATATTGCTACATTTGGCTTGCCATACCCATACAACTGGATGGGACTTTTTATTAGACTGACATTTATTCCATTTTGTATGTAGGTTGGTTATGATGCTGGAGACCAGTTTAGTTTTCACTGGTGGAATCATGTCTTCAATAAAACTGCAAAGAGCATTGTGGTCCAAGAAAGTGAGGTACATTTTGGAAAGAACATGTGTCTCTTGTCCAGCCCTTCTCTTCTTGATCCTCAAAGATAAAGTCTTGATTTTGAAGTTGTGTTTTTGTAACTTTTGAGACTGCACATGAAAGCTACTGATAAGTACTTTCCGGTGTTGCTGGCAGTTTATTATTCTGTATAAGGCAGATCTAAATTTTGAGTAACATTGTAATTGTAAAATTGTCATTTCCTGATTAGGAAGGAGTGACGGTATTGAAATCCAGCAAAGAAACATGTTCTGTGAGTAACAAAAGACCAAGCAAAAACTCCAACAAACCAAGGCTGTATGGAAGATTTGTGAAGGTAAAACAATCATCATTTATTCCAACAGCATCTTGACTTAAAGTGTATGTACAAATTTTGTTTTAAACATTACTTTCTGTTTATTTGAAAAATCTTTTCTTTTTCTGTTTCAGGCTTCTAGTCAGACACAGGAAACTAAAACACAAGAATCAGATGATGACTCTGAATCAGAAAAAGATTTCTCACATTTGTGAGTATCTAAAGAGTAATAATTAACTGGTGATTCTTTAGGTTTTTTACAGTACATTCCAAATCTCCCTATTACAGCTGTAAGACAAATAATTTATAGTAATAAAAAAGAATAAGTATATTAATCTTGAATAATTATTATTCAAGATTAAGTGTCATCGCTGTCCAAAAAGGTCTCCCCTTTTAAAGTGTATTTTGTTGATAAGCACTCCTCACCACCTTACATGTTCCTTACAAGGAACAATAATTGTTCCTCAAATATGAAAGTTACATGTAAGGTGGTGAGGAGCGCTTATCAACAAAATACACATTGAAAAGGGAGACCTTTTTGGAAAGTGATGCCATTTAATCTTGAATAATTAATATACTTACCTGTACCCAATATATTTTGAATTGAAGTGGGCAATACCAATATTACTATATAAGTACTCTCCTAGTGGTCCTAGTGGTCTGAGCTGATACAAGGTTTTCATCTCAGCTAGCATGGTTGTATCTCTAGAAATCAATTTTCATGCTTACGTTTGCCAGCCATAACCAGACTTTTGCAGCCATAGCCCAAGTAGAAGGCATGAAAAATAATAATGCAGTAATAATAATACTACTAATGACACTGATATTATAATAATATTTATAAATCATTTTATATTTATCAATTATTCCATGAGTGCAGGTTGGATATGAGATGGTAGATAGCCAACGAGGCACATAGTGCCAAGTTGGCTATAATCTTATATATATATATGGATATATTAGAAATGCCCACAAAACGCTGAGAAATCGTCCGACTTTATTTGTAAAAACAACTGATTTTCAGCTTGTTTTTAATTTTGAGCAGATGCGTACAGTTACCATATTTGGAGAGCATGGTGTAATGGCTCATATATCATGATGGCTAAGCCAATCGGAGCTCTAGAATCGCATCATCCAATGATTCCGTTTTTAATAATATTCTTGTTATTAAATATTGTTATTATTCTTCATTTTCAGATGTCCAGATGAAAGGCTTTTCCAAGCTTGTGGGGGTAGAACAGCTCACAAGTAAGTCAAAAACATAGTTTTTAATGCTACAGTGGAGTTATCAACAGTATCACTTCCTAGAAAAGTTATTATCCAGTAGGAGGCAGCATGGCCGAGTGGTTAGAGCGCTGGTCTTGCAATTCAGAGGCCTCAAGTCCGGCCCTGACTGCTAGCTGGATTTGTTCACAGTAGTCCCGAGGCCAAATCCTCGGCCACTTGTAAATAGCCAACTGGTTTGCCTCTGAGCAGTTATATTGGGATTCTTAACCCCATTATGTTTGATTGAAATTATTTGTTTCAGGGATTTGCTCAGTTCCACTAACATTAGTACTATAAATACTTTGGAGGGCAAATGATGGAAATTTATCTTTTTTAATGTTAATTTTAACCATGTTTTAGGTCCCTATATTCATTGGTTTACTTACTGGCTCTCACAAAGCTAAATCTTAATTTAAAGTTGTAAGCCTCCAGAAAATTAAAACATTGGACTGAAGACAACAAATTGATTTTGTTATCAAGTTATGAATTTTGAGGGATTAGCATAAAATAATTTTTTGCTCTGAATATTTGTTGTCGGTTTGATGTCTGCCACTCTCTCAGGTAACAGGCAACCCAGGCAACCCTCCTAAGCTGTACTTTTCCAGGGAAGCTAGATGGGCAGGACTGTTTTTGATTCCTGGCTTACTTGTTTTTTGTTTTGTTTAAATACTAGAGCTGCTCGTCATGGACTCCTCTTGAATGGCAAACTGCAACGAGTTGAAAAACAGGAAAAAATGGGGAATTCAGATGACAGGTACATTTTACAGAAATCATACTTTTACAATAAAGGCATGCATATGTAGTCACTACTTTGTAAAGATATCCGATCATTTGCTTTCTCTGTTGCTTAAAGAACTTAGATTGCGGTCTGTTTGACAAGCATTACAATTTAGAAGGAAAATACAGTCCAACTTCCATGTGCGTTAACCTCTTGTAATCGATCATTTATCTAAATTTCCAAAAATTTCTACACCAAGACCTTATAGACAGAACTTCGTATCCAGGACCGCAAACATTTGTTGGGGTAACGAATTTATGAGGCCCTTCTTGGTGGGGGGGAGGGGGGGGGGTGCTGATGGGGGTTAAAGGGGAGGGGTTGAGGAGTGAGCAGGTACGGTGTACGTGTATTTCTAGTCTGAAACCCTGAATTTGTTTAGCGTATTGAGGAGAAAGCCGTGTCTTTTACAAGTCAGTAGTGTACTACTGTATTCGCTCTTGTCTTGTCACCATTCCGTCTGTCTTATGCCACTGTTTTATGGCCAAGTCACTTGGGCAATTTACCCTAAACAGGGCGTCACTTGCGCCGTGTGGTTGTTTCTAACCTCTTATAAGCAATAACTTAGCATAATCGTGCAAATCCTTAGGCTCACTGTAAGTCGGTAGCTCGACTCCCGTCAAGTGAATGAAAACTTTCGTGGCATTCCAGCTCTCATAATTCCTTGTTTTTATACTCGTTAAAGTTTATTACGCTTATAATAACTCTGCCCCGGGGAAAATTGGAAATGTTCTCTTCATCTCCTGGAATCTTTCTGCTTTGTTCTGTTCAACTTCCAGGCATAAGAAAGGTATACTAGTAGGAAATCATTGATTACGGATTCGCGTTCGTCGCTTTAGTCGAAAGGAGTTCAGTCTCCCGACCGGCCGAGATGCCCCTGATAACATTAATAGGGACGGCTAATTTGCAGTCACCCGTGATGGCTCAAAAATTTCCGCCTTAGTGCCACAGGAACACCAGATTAGGATGCGTTCTGACGAACGCGAATAGATCACGAAAACCACAACCAGCCAAGTACGATCCCAGCCATTGAAAATGTTTGGAACTAGAACTGCTCCCTTTTGTTGGAAAAAAAATTACCCGAGCAAACGACGATTGACGACAAAGTACGGTAGATAGTTTGTTAACAAGCATAATGTATGTAGCTCCCACAGCTGACCTACAGATTCCTACTGTACACAGCCAGCTAGACTACAAATATTCACATACGTTCGTCCCTGTCATTTATCTGATACAAGCTTTTCTTAAGGACAGCAGTCGCTAACAAGTAACTTAAAGAGAAGAAATAGGCTTGTTTGCGTATTGTAAGAAGGTTGTTTACGGAAACTTTGATAAGGATATTTCCAGAAAAAAAGGGTGTGCGTTGGTTTGGTGAGGGTCTCGCCGTTTCCTCCTCCTGAGAAGCGAAGCTTTTGAACGGCTTCAGTGATAAGAGAAATTGTCAGGCTAATTCTTTCAGTTGAGCAACTGCTGAATTTGTACATAGCTTATGCATATCATTTTGTATTTGTATTCAACTTCTTTATCCAATTCTTTTATTTCCTCTTTTCTTTTTCTGTCTTTTTTAAAATCTTGTTATGTTACCTTGTAACTTGAAAGCCCTCTCAGTTATGAGAGTTACAATAAAGTATCAGTATGTATGTGGGTAATTGTTCGCAGCAGAGCTTCTCCTAACCCAGAGATTTCTTGGCCTAACTTTCCCTTCAAAACATTTCAGTTAAATTCTTTTATAGCAAGAACAGTTTGTTTGTAATCGCGTTTTAGGTGCGACACTGATACTGCCGAAAGTTCCGTCTTGGGTCGCAAATCTTTTGTGGTGGATGAAAAACAGCGGTGCAAGGAGGCGAAAAGGGACAGTAAAGAGACCAAAAAGGAGAAAAAGAAAAAGAGAAAACACAGAGAAATGCTTGAAGAGGAAAATGATAAATTTGATGAAGTAGTTGATGACACAGATTGTTTAATTTGGACTCGAAAGAAAAACTTAAAGAACATCGTTATGAATGGAGGGGGCGATCATAAACTGGAAGTACACAGTTCTTACGAAGATTACGAGAAAGTCAAGAAAGGAAAAAGGAAAAAGAAATCCAGAGACTTGCAGAAGGGAAACGATTACAAACTCGAAGGTGAACGTGATTCTTGCGGAGACAAGGCCGAAAAGCGGAAAAAGAAGAGGACAAAAAGTGGAGACGTGTACGGTACAAACGATGAGGCGTTAAGTGATATTTGTTTTTATACGAATAACCTGGACGTGAAAGGAGCGAAAAGTAAAACGAGAAAACGTAAAGATCAACTGGGAGAAAACGATTACATAGTTGAAGGTAAATGTCCTGATCGCAAAGATGATGTGGATAAGAAGAGAGCGAAAAAGAAAAAGAAAAAACGTTGATTTACAGGGAATTAACAGGAGCAAACTTCAAAAAGGTGAAATAATGAACAAATGAAATTCTCGGATAAAGTTAGAAGTACACAAGAAGAGAGCGTAACGGAGATTTAGAGGAAGAAAAACGGAAAAAGGACTGAAAACGTGGCGATAAAGTAGATGAGAGGCGAAAGGGAAAAAAAGGAGAGAAAATAAAGGAATAAAGTGCAATGGAAGGTCATTTTATTTGGATCCGACAATAGACCTTTCCCACATTCCTGTAAACAACTGCATCAAGTCGAGGCTCTGGTGGACAAAACACAGTGATTTATATGAAACTGTCCACCTGAGCCTCGTCCTCACTTCTTTTATGTTTGCTCACTGGAGCGTAATGCGGGAAAGGTCTATAAAATACTAAATCGGAAAAGAAGGGAAGATGTGCTGTGAGCCCGTTAAGAGGAGCTGACTTAAAAGGGACCTGGGAACCAGATAAGTTGTCAAAGAACACTGAACAGTTTTCATTGTACTATTGTGACGTCAGAGAAAGGATTTTTTTACGATTTTTATTTTCGTCGTTTTACTTAGCTTAAATTTTTACTTTTTTAAAAACGTCCTTTAGATAACCTTAGTTGGATTTAAATTTTCAAAGTCTCGGTACGTATTCGAAGGAAACTGTGTAATCAATATACCGTAAAATTCCGAAAGTAAGCCCCGGGGCTTATATTCTTCAAAGGCCCTTTTTGAGGGGCTAGGGCTTATATTTGGAGGGGCGTATGTACGGAGGGAAATTTGCGTTTCAAAATCGATTGGGCTAGCCTTATAGTTTTGCTTTGGTTTACTTTGTAAAGTTGAGGGCAATTTCCAAGTACGAGCCCCCGGGGGTGCTTATATTTGGAGGGGCGATTTAACGGAGGGTTTTTGCGTTATGAGTTTGGCTTTGGGGGGCTTATATTTGGAGGGGCTTATTTTCGGAATTTTACACAGTGCTTCCTAATATGACTAAAAAAGTGTCCCGTTGGTTAATCCAATTAAAATAGCAACAATCAGGAAAGAGCAAGTGCGCAATGGTCGATGGGAAGAGGGAAAGGGAAGGAGCCTCGCTTCCAATCTTTCCCCTTCCCATCGTCCCCTTAATGCTTTCTTTTTCCCCTCACCCCAGTCCCTCTAGGAAACAAAGAGGCCTCTGCGGAGGAGAGAGGAATACAAGCAAAGATTACAATGACACGCGCAGAGCTAAATAAACAACTCGTTAAAGAGAACACAACAAAGACACTTTATAATGGAGGTGCACTTAGCTGCCATGCACGACAAATCGATTCATATTACTTTATAATAGCTACACGTCAAGCGCGGGAAAAAAAACGTTAAACTAATTGTTGCCCAAGTACCACTTAGGGCCTGTTTACGTGGAGTTGGGGGGACCCCAGATAGGTGAGGTAACTTGTGGCGGTTCAACCACCTATCATGTAAACGTGATTACATTAAAATGAGAGATTATATGGACAGGCGGGTTACCTCACCTACCTGGAATCCCCCACTTCCATGTAAACAGGCCCTTAAACCAGTGTTTATTAAACTGCCCATCACAATAAAATTTTCATTATGTTAACTGAAGGAATACATTACTACAAGAACGTCTTTCAACCTTTTTTTGTCTAAAAACTGAAACATTTTATGAGGCACGCCACACTTTTTTGGGTAAAAGCAACATTCAGAAACGTTAAAAGGTTTACTGAATCAATGCCATTTCTACAGAATGTATCGTCTTTCTACATGCTATTCTAGCATAAATTATAAGTTTGTCTGTGCTGTATGAAAGGCGTGGTTTTACTACACTTATTTTCAAAGTGTCGGTTGAACTAAGGAATTCGTCAAAGCTAAGTTCCTATAGCAGAGCGTTACGTTTTCACTCCGTTGGCCAGTATCTATGCAAATTTATTGGAACAAAAGGCAGCGTTTACATAAGAAGAGAGTTTAACTCCCGTACGATTGGTTGGGAACACTAATATGGCCATCGTTTCATTGTTTTGGTACACCAATATGACCGCTGTGACGTCACGTGAAAACGCTCTTTTTTAGCCCACTGACTTCCGGGTAATATTCAGTCGCGCATACAATAATATAAAAAATAAATATAGTTAAAAATAGAATCAAGATCAGTTACAATGAAAATGCTTCTTGAAGCAGAAAAGGTCTGAATAAGAGTTTTAAGCCGATTATGGTACGTGCATTCCTTGCATTAGCTGGTAATATCAGCTCCATGTAATGTTCAGTTGGCATACATCACCTGAAACTAAAATATCAAAAATGGGATCTATGCGTGAAAGTGGTTATTACTTCTTAAACATAAACATGAAACAGAATATATATCGTAAACAATAGCACACGTTCGATATACTACAATTCTAACATGGCTCCGAGGCTTTTTGGTCATATTTATATATTTGGTTCGGTTTTCTTTGGGAATTTGCGAAACAATGGAGTCGTGAAAAATTTGCAATAGGTCATTTGCGTGATGACGTCATTGCACCACTGCGACCAGAATCCTTCAGGACTTTGCTTTCTTATGCAAATTAGGGCTTTTGTTATCGAAACCTCACTGGGATTACCAAATTAAAATATGAAAGGAAAAATGAAAAGGATTCTGGTCGTAGTAGTAAAATGACGTCATCGTGCAAATGGCCTATTTTGTTCCATAAGCCCCGGAGTCGTGGTAGAATTTTGATATATCGAACGTGGGCTGTTAGATTGTCAAAAAATTATCCTATCGTTTCTTAACAACACACCAGCTAGTAGGCTCTATTATCAACCGCTGCTTGGGAAGGAACAAGACCGGAACCGAGAGAACGGCGGAATCCGAGCCTAGCCGGCTAGTGAACCGTTTTGAAATCCGGTTTTAGTCACGCGTATTTACTGGCCCCTCAACCCCCGGGACTTTAACATTAGTTTCGTGTTGAAACACCGCTAATTTCCCCGTTCCCCGGGCCAAGTAGTTCGTTAAATGCCCCGTATAGCGGGGCATAAGTACAGTGTTGTTCTAGGCTCCATTTCAACATCTCTCTGGTCTGGTATTCTGTAATTATTAAAATTCAAACCATTGGACTTGTTAATAGAAACTCTCGACTGTGCTCCTTCAAATTTATGAAAAATGTTACCCTGGGTGCCAGAGGATTTTTTTTGTTACCTTTAATTCCTGAAAAAAGGACCTCAGGCCGGTGTAAGATAATGCGGTTATCTCTTAACATCTGTATATGGTATACTTGTAAGTACTACATTTAACGTAGCATTGCCACCTTTCAAACAAGGTCCATTTGCCATATCAAACACATGGGATACAAATAGTCGCAACTGTTATGGGGTAACCGCTCCCCTTGTTTTGCACCCTAGACACTGACTAGAATCAAGTGCCATCTTCGGATGCTTGATCATCGTGTCTATTTTACTTGAGGACTGAAATCATTGCTTCCTATTTTGCTTCTGTTCTAACGTTTTTCGGCGTCATTTTCAGTTACCTTTTCTCCGGAAGGTTCGGCAAAGGTAACAATGCACTTGTGATCCAAACACGGCCGAGCAAGGGATCCTAAGCGATAAGGCTCTGTCTTTTTTTTTAAATTTTGTGATATTTTGATCTTTTGGTTATGGGAGAGGAATCTAGAAGTGATTGTTTAGAAAGCACTTTTGGGATTAATCTGTCGTCGTTTACGTGCTGTTGTGTTGTACTTGAATTATTTGTTTCTAAATATTTGAGTGGAGTTCCTGTAAACTAGCTGAATAAGCTAAGTGCACTTTCCACGATAAACAAGCCTTTAAACCTTTAAACAAGCCTTTAAACGTGCGAGGTGGACAAATGAGATTTGTGTAGTCCTTGTGAGGCAATGCCCGACCAATGTAGAACGTTCCATACACACTTTCTTTCTGTGTCTGAGACTATGGCAACCTGTTTTATGCCTTCCTGCCCCGTTTCTTCTATGTTTTTAATGTATTCTCTGCAGTATCATATCTTTTCTGCCGCCATGTTCACCACCCTTCGGAAAGAGGCCGTTCCTTTAGTCACTCATGTTAAATCCCCGCTTTTAAAAATGCGTATGTGCTGTTCAATTCCCGCCCATGACCTAGGTCAAGCAGGTATTTTGTTAATTCCAAAACCCCGGGATTGGTCGCGTTAAATCCCCGCTATCCCTCGGGGCGGGGGCTGGGATTTCAAGTTTTTTGTTTCATTCCCCCAAGACTCGGAGCCAAGTATGAATTTTAATATAGCGAAATTGGTCTATTGCACTTTTTCTTGTCTGGTGACAGGAAATATGATGAGCTTAATATGCATCATCATCATCATGGCCATTTGTAAATCTCCCATACTACACCTTGTTTGCCCCAAAACATTAAGCACAAGAATTGTCTTCAATTCTCTCGAGAGTACTGTAACACCCAAGAGAAATAAAATTAAAAGTTTACGCAAAATTTTAGGGGGCAAGCAAGGTGTACTATGGGAGACCTGAATCTATTACCTGCGATATCTTCTAAACTTCAAAAGTTCGAGAAAAGTAAAAAGCGTGAGTATTGACTTGAGTGATAGCAAGCAATTTTTCTTACCTTCGTTAATGAAAATCCATTTTAACGTTATCTCCAATCAGCATAAAAGGGGCCCACTGCTCCACCTCACTGAATCCGTTTTCTCTCATCCACTTCATGGCCTGGTGAAGAGATTCACTGGCACTTTCCCCACGAACAAGCTGCTCGTAGAAACGACTCATAAACTGCATTGTTGCTTCGTCGTCTATAGCCCACAGTGCCACCAACACTGAACGAGCACCGGATCCTAAAAACGCTCGAGCGATCCCAACAGCTCCCTCGGCTTTAATATCTCCACGTGCACTGTGACAGCAGCTAAGAACTACAAGTTTGGCTCGAAGTCGAACTTGTGCGATGTCAGCCATTGTCAATAAGTAGTCTTCTTCTTCCGGAATCTCATCATTCGGGCGTACAGGAGCAAGGGCAATTTCTCCTCTTTCAGCATTTCCATGAGCAGCAAAATGGATGAGGCTTACCGAACTGATGGCTTGAAGAACAGCCTGCTTGGTTGCTTGCTCTCCTAACAAAGGTTTTGTTCCAAGAAGCCGCCCAATCATCTTAGCTTCCTCTTCTGCAGAAGGCAATCTCGGTGGGTTACACACATCCCCCTTGAAAAGCACCTCACCAACGTCTGGATCGCCTACTATCAGTGCACCAGTCTGACTGTGGTAGTCTGCTGGAGTATCTTGAATGAGCTTGAATGTGGTAAGAGAAGGAACAATGCGGATTCTGTAAGACTCGGACAAGTACTTCCCACTGTCATTCTTTAACGCTGCAAACGGAACCTTGAACAAGGAGCGATCAGGAACTATGATTATTTCCTCTTTGTCAAGTAAGTCAGCCACGGGAGCAATGATCACTTTGTAATACAAAGCGAGAGTCTCATCTGGATCTTGCTCTTTTTTCTCAGTTGGCTTTCGGACACGAGCCTCGCAGTTTTCTGGAGATTCGCGTGTTTGTTGGCTAACGCTGGAAGAAAACCATGATCGATCTTCACAATGTCCATGAGACAACAAAAGAAACTTGCTTAACATTTGGTCGCCAAAAATTTCATCCTCGTTTCGTATTGTTCCATGTTGATAAAAGCAGTCATCGACATCTACATGACGAAAAGCTGTCTGTTCATCTGCTTTGAGAATCCACAAAAACAAATCCTCCGCGCTAAAAGTGTAAGAAATATATAGACAGATGCAGTTGTTTTCATTCTTCGCGATTCTTTCAATACCAACCCAAGACTGTGGATCGATCGATGTTTGTTTTTCCACAGAGTACTGGGCTGACATGAGGTCAGCCAGGGCTCTGGCCCGTCCAAGCTCTGCAACCGAAAGAGCTTCATTAGGATTCCCGGTAATCAGGTAACAGGCACTGAGCAACTGGTAGGAGTCACAGTGTTTCTCGAGAAACGATATCTTCAATTTATCATTGTCTTTCAGAAAGTTTTGTATATCCTCAGAATTTTTAATACTAGCAAAAAGGTGAGATTTAGCTCCAGATACGTTGCCTACCAGTAGCTCTCCATATGATAGGTTAATGTGGCTAGCTAACTCTGTTTGAACATCTCCATTCTCTTTGCTTAATACAATCGCTTTTTCTAGATATTCTTTAGCCTTTGTAATTTCACCAGAACACTGCATTACGTTTCCTAAGTTTGCATAACACGAGGCCTCTTTTTTCTTGTCACCAACTTTTTTTGCGGTCGCCAGGGCTTTTTCATGGTATTCTCTGGACTTCGTGAATTCCCCTAGGGACTCAAACACATTCCCTAGGTTTCCATAATCTGCTATTTCTCCTTCAATATCGCCAATTTGTTTTCTTATGGCAATTGCCTTTTCCAGATATTCTTTAGCTTTGGCGTGCTCATCAAGGCTACAAAAAACCATTCCTAGGTTTCCGTAACACGAAGCTTCTTTATCCTTGTCACCAACTTCAACTACGATTGCAAGTGCCTTTTCGAAATAATCTTTAGCTTGTGTATATTCACCTACAGAATGAGACACGGCTCCCAGGTTACCGTAGCATGTGGCTTCCCCGCTCTTATTGCCCATTTCTCTTTCGATTGCAAGTGCGTTTTCGAAATATTCCGTAGCCTTAACATATTCAGCGCAAGTCTCACAGGCACTTCCCAGTGTTCTGAAACTTTCTGCTTCTCCTTTACGGTCGCCGATTTCTCTTCTGATTGCAATTGCTTTTTCATGATAATCATTAGCCTTGATAGAGTCACCCACGGACTGAAACAATGCTGCCAAATTTCCGTAACAAGACGCCTCATTTTTTCTGTCGCCAATATCTTTTGTAAGAGGAAGTGCTTTTTCGTAACATTTTACTGCCTTGTTGAACTCACGGGAAGACTGGAACATTCTCCCCAGGTTAGAGTAATCTGACGCTTCCCCTTTTTTGTCGCCAGTCTCTTTTCTTATCCGCAGTGCTTTTTCAAGATATTCTATTCCTTTTGTGTATTCGCCAAGAGAATGCCACGCAATTCCCATGTTTCCGTAACAAGACGCTTCTTTTTTTCTATTGCCAGTTAGTTTCATCATGGCAAGTGCTTTGTCGTGGTATTCTTTAGCCTTTCGATATTCACCAATGGATTGAAACACATTTCCGAGGTTTGAATAATCTGCTGCTTCTCCTTCTTTATCGCCATTTATATTTTCTTTTCTGAACGCAAGCGATTTCTCAAGATACCATCTAGCCTTAGCATTTTCACCAAGAGACCATGACACACTTCCTAGGTTTCCGTAACATGATCCTTCCCCTTGCTTGTTTCCAGTTTTTATCATAATATTAAGTGATTTTTTAAAAAGCTCCTCGGCCTCCTTATATTTTCTTTGATGATCATACAATTTTGCCAGTTCGTAGGCGGCGTTCCCTTCTGATTCCCTATCTCCACTTTCGCGAAGGAACACCAGAAGTTTTTCCCCGCATTCTATCGCAGTTTTGAGATCGCTGATGAGACGGTACCCTTTAAACATTTGAACATAAACAACCCTAGTCGTTGATCTGACGAAATCTTTTTCACTTCGAAAGATTTTGTTGTTGAGAAGTTTCAAGCATTCCTTAAGTATCTGCAAGGCTTTTGGAACGCGATTGGTTGCAAGAAGGAAGGCGGCAACCAATATACCAATACAGAGTGATAGGCCGACATCGGTTACATCATCCATGACTCTCGTTTCTGCAAGACCTAGTGAGTAAAAACAGTGAGCAGAAATCTAATACTTTAGAATGTATTTTGCATTCTAGCACACTGTGCCAAAATCGCACCAAGAAGACGTTGGTGACTGACAATCATGGGATTTGTTGGATAGAGACACCTTAAAAGAGATCAATGGTCTCTTTCAGGAGCCGCTCTGAACCTAGGCTCGATTATCATCCGCTGTTCTGGAAATGAGCCCTCGCTCCTCACTGTTTGAGAACATTTTTGGTAGCGCTTACGAAACATTAACCGAATTGCTTCGTTCTTATGAAGGGCTAACACTCGAAACGTCATCAGCACGGGACGAGGCGAGTCACTGGATAACAAGCAAGGGCGATACTTCAGTGAACCGTCCCCTAGTCCAACCTTTGCGCAGCAAGAGAGACTTTTAAGTTCGAGGCAGGAACCACAACATATATAGCTCAAAGGGACAGTGTCCCGATTATGCGCACGCGAGAACGTCATCTGTTTTCTCTTATAAAGACAACAGAACTGTCATGTTGACAGGACAAGATTTCCTTGCGGACCGCACCGGCAACGGAGAATTGTTGTTTACATTCTCAAGTAATATCTTAGACTTTCGAAGAAGTCTTTCGTTTTACCTAATATTTGGTTCGCGGAATAAATACTTCCCGCGATTTTGTCACTTGCTCGGCGGCGGCTGCCTCGTGACCCCGCACGTGACCTAAAAAGCTTGCTCCACTCGCTTTACAGCTTAGTTTTCTGCTGCGAAACTCTTGTCAGAGGTTACTTTTTGCAAGCCCAGTAATATTTGCTCGCGTTCTAGCCTCAAGTGTTCGAAAAATATAAATCAAAATGCAATCTCAAGGCGAAGAAGCATCGCAAAGGTTGGTCAAACATTGATAAAGGAGGGGGTGAATAGGGGTATGCAAATTTTGCCTGAATCCGAAATCCGAGCAAAAATATTTTTAATACACGCAAAGTCCAAAATCCAACCTCGCTTCCAGGTTCTCTCTCCTTCCCGTCGAGAGAATGAATGAATTCTCTGCTCTCAACGTAACTGTTATGTTTTGTCACCGCTAATGGCGTAGGTTTTGAATGTACTGATTCGGGCCGATCACCAGCCTCTCTCACCAACAAATATTGATACTTTAAATGCAAGTTCAAACATACAGAGATTTTCCCTTCAATAAATAAACATACACGCTTGTGTAGAACTCAAAATCGTAGATTTTAGTGATTGGTGTCATCGGTTAAACTGCGACAACACGAGTTTTTGATTCCTCCTCTGGAAATTCGCTTGTTTATCTGGTGATAGTACTGTTTAGGGAGAAATTTCCCAAATTCCAGTCATAGTTGTAGGCTTAGCAAATCTATCTTGCTCTTGCGATCATTGTGTGAACGAAGAAAACGAACCAGACAGAAAAATTGAGAGACAAAGGGCTCCTCCCTTGGAATTAATAAATTTTGCGCTGGAGTCACGTGACCAAACCCAACCAGGGTCTCTCTCTCTCTCTCTCTCTCTCTCTCGCTCCGTAGGGACGGGTAGGAGAGAACCCTGGGGACGAGGTTGTCCAAAATCTTGGCCCAAAAAAACGGATGAATCCGGAAATCCGTTAAAATCTCGCTTTGAATGCGAAATCCGGGCAAAAATATTTTCAAAATCCGCCGATCCGTTCGCCTATTTACCCTCCTCATTATGATTTCATTGCACTCGTTTCAGCCTAAACGTGGAGTGTCTGTTTAAAGTTTATTAACACGCCGTTGCAACACATCATGCTTCACGAAGCTTCCACAAGATCTCCTCAGTAACACTTTCATGATTATCTGAGCTGGTATGGAAGCTGGCGGGAAATAATCCTTCAACCGGTATCAAAGCACTTCGCTTCTCTTCGTCTTCCAGCTTAAGGCAAGAAAGCAACGCTAAAGACTCCGGATTTCGCCTAGAACGAAACTTAACAGTGACAATTTATCCGGCATTGATCAGCGTAATTTTGAGAAATTTTTGCGCGTATCGAACTCAGTCATGCACGATGCAAACGGTTTTCAAAGGTTCTTTTACTCTCCGCGCATCTTTTGAATTCGCGAGATCCTGTCAGAAAATCAAAGTTTGGCACATGCGCAGTGACGAATACATTTCCTGTTCATCAGATATCGCTTAAACCCATCCAGAAACGCAAAGTATTGAATTCACTTGATTCACTTCCGTAATCGAGCGCACTATAATTAAATGGTTCGGTGATTTTTAAGTGAAATATGCCACACCGGTGATGACGGATGTATCGTCGAAACTGTATGTTAGGCTCCTGGTGTTTTACTACTTTATTTTGGTGGAATGTCGTGTAAAAAAGCAATGTTGTATAAAATCAGGGCTGTAAAACATGGGCAAATGAACTGCTCTTGTTAACGCCAAAATTTTGGCTCAAGACTGAGTTTGTTGGTCAACACAAATTGAACTTGTTTAGAGGTTGTAAACTGACCAATTGACAGGGCAGGGAATAAACGCTATTAGTAAAATCCAACTAGTGGTCTATTATCAATGCTGCGTTCTGATTGGTTGGGCTACTACTAGGCTATATGTTATAGCCCAATGGTAGCTAAAAGCGCCGGCTTTTAAACCAAAACAAAGGCGGCTGAATCGCGTTTTGCTAGCTAAAGTTGTTTTGTCTCGATATTTTTGACCAACTAGTTGGATTTTACCAAAACAATTATTCCTCTCGCCCTCATGGCCTCTAAGTCAATAGCCCATTTGGCCTTCGGCCTCATGGGCTATTGACTCAGAGCCCATTCGGGCTCGAGGAATAATGGTTAAATAGAATGGATATTTTTAGAAATCTGATTAAGTGCCCGTTAAATGTATGGGGACACAGCCGATTCAACATATCGCTGAACAAACTCAACAATTTTAGCTGCACATCTTTCTTTGTGTACCTGGGAGCGGTAGGGGAAGCTGGCGCCTTGTCACTGGAGTGGAAAAAGCTCTAGACTATACCTGAAAGAATTTCTGCAGCAAATATTTGCCATACTTGTAAAAGTTATCCCTGGTTGCAGAACCATAATGGTAGAATAGCATGG